CCCTCATGCAGCGGGATTTGCTCTCCCCAACAGCCAGTTTTGTCCACGGCAGTTCGAGCGGAAGTTTCTCACTGACAATTTGCCCCAAATAGATTTGTCAGAGCGTCCAACTGCACCGCACCGACTTGTGGGTTTGTGGGTTTGGGTTCTGGGTCTGTGTTTTATTGGTGGGACTCTTCCACGGAGAGGCCTTGGCGTGTGTGTACATGTGCCCGAGTTTGCATGTGTGCGTGCAGAGGTGGGCGTAGATTACGCGCCAGTGGAGGAGATGGTGGGACTGGGGTAAAGTCACTGTGGTGTTCCTGAGGGACTGGGATCTCTCCTCACTGGGTGCACTGGGATTACTAAGAACATCTGACACCTCTGTAAACTCCTGTATGGCATTCAACAGCCTCTGGGCCACCAGCAGCGGTGGGAGAAGTTTTCCAATCTTTCAAGTATAAAATCACACAGTAAAAATACTCCATTAAAAGTCATGCATTCAAAATCATAAGTGAAGTGTGAAAGTATAACCAGGAGAATCAACTTAAAGTATCAAAAGTAAAAGTACTCCGTTCAGAAAAATGTGAGATTTGTATTGTTATATATCACATCATTAGATTATTATACCTCTTGCATTCAAATTGCAGCTGTAGCTGCTTGAAGGGGGGGCTATGTATTTCGGACTTCAGCTAATGATTATTGTCATTATAGATCAATTGTTTTCTTGATTTGTTAGCTGATTCATTTTTGGTTTTGTAAAAAAATCTGAACATAGTGAAAAGTGCAGGGAGCCCAAACTTCACAATGCTTGTTTTTTTCCAACCAATAGTCCAAACCTCAAAATCATTAAGAATATATCAGAATTGAAATAATCAAAATGAGCAGCAATTCCTTAAATTTGAGAAGAACCATGAAATGTTTGAACTGGAAGAATTGAGTAAGAACGTATAGTTATACCACCACAGGCCACCAGAACTAAAACAATGAAAGGCCATTCATCAGTAAAAACATGTAATCAGACATATGTGTTATCATCAGGTGTGACTGCTGCTTATGACTCACAAACCTTTGAAGGTAAACAGTTGAAATGTTTATACTGGAGGACAATGTAGTCTGAGTTATTGCTTGGGTTGACTTAAATGGCTTTGTTTATTCACTAAAGCCAGGGTGTAAAGACAGAAAACAACACGTTCCACTTGTGTTTATCTTAACTCAGCGGAAGGTAGGTAAATGAAAAATAAACATATGATACATCTTTTTTTAAATTATTGGATCCAATTAAAGTCAACTTACTTTATTTCACATCAATCCACAGTTAATACATGCTTTCCATTGAGTGCTGCATAACAAACAAAAAACACATATAAAGGGCAGTACAGTCTGTTGATGGTGTCCAGATTTCAGGTTCCATCTGAAAGCCAGTAGTTTACTTTGTTTCCTTATCGAACAAATGTCTGATATATGTTCATGATTTAGCTTCCAAGCAAAGGCTTCAATTGAGGAGAGTTCATCTTAAAGTTTTGATTATTCTTATGTAGTTAAAGGCTTATTATGTTGCATGGGAGAGCAGTCACCAAAAGAGCGATTACTGGATTAGGAGACTAAGTCAAGATCACACCCAAGACACATTTCTCCTGAGGGAGAAACAATAAAGGCTCATCCATCTATCAGCTCTGCAACACTGATTGCATGAGGCAAAGATGGATTGATTAAAATACAATGATTTTACATTTGAACTCATATAAACATAATACAATTTGAACTGCATCTTCACTGAATATCTTTGAATAACATTTTGAATAAGCAGGCGGACAGGTAACCTGCAATGACTCCTGTTGTAGAACTGTCCGTGGTGCTGAAATCAGGCTGCCTATCTTCCACTTATTTGGAAAGTGTAATCATATGTTAAGATTATCAAGTATTCGTATTATGTTGGAGAAGGTTTTCTGTTCTTTTTTTTTGTAGCTTTGTTGAACAAGACTGTGCCCACTCACATGTTTTGTATCTGTCATCAAAACAGCTGACGGAATGATTCTGAAGACAATCGCCTCCTGAGCTAAACAGCAGCGGTCTGTGGGCTATAAAATGACTGACTATGATCTCCCCGGTCAGTTTTAAAGGTTGCCTGGCTGCGTGGGTCTTTGGTCGCCTTGAATTCTCCCCATTATTTGCTCTATGGAGCTTAGTGACTTCTCACTAAAGGCAATTGGTTTACGCCTGGTCGGTTAGGGGCCTGATAGCAGTGCATAAAAAGATGGTTAAACTCGGAGACCATGTAGACGATAGGAACAACAAGATTGTATGCTGTAAATAGCAAAACTGGTGTTTATCATCTTAATGGACGAGTGCTATTGTTATTGTAATTTTCACATCATTAAAATGTCAGCCCGAGTTGGAAAAATAAGAAGCAAAAGGTGAGCAACATGCTGTTTACACCGGAGATGTGTTTCTACAGGTGTTTCTCATTGTTCAAAGACCACAACGGATGTCAAGACATTTAGAGCCCACGTATTGTTTTGGAGTGACTTGTTGGACTCTCACTCGTTTCTCGTTGTTGAAGTCTATCCCATAGCATGTCAAGTATCTGCATACTGATGCTGAGCTCCCCAAAAAAAACAGATACACAATCCACTGGCCCCTTTGTTAACGTCATTTCATTGACTGTTGGAGGAGAAGAGAGTCACTAATACAAAAAAAGTGAAAGAAGGCAACCCCGGCAACCATGATGTTGGTTATATTTGTGTAAAGGCTATCAGTGAATGAGGAGGATTAGGACGAGTTAAGGAGATTATGTCACACATTCACCATTCACCCCACCCCGGCAGCCACCCACACACATGCGCACACACTTAGAAATAACTAGAAATGTTATTGATCTGTGAGAATGTACATACGATTAGTGCTAAAATGTAAAACACGTTGATTCTGCCTTTTGGCGTGTGTAGTGTTTGATTTCTTAAATTAATTACCAACAAAAGAAGTGGTCGTTAAGTATGATAAATAATCCTTAAATCCGGAAAATGGTCACTTTGGAACAACACACTCCTCTCCACTTGCTTTCTATTTATTAACAACGTTTCGGCCAATACACTTTCATCAGCTTGCTTTTTTTTGTGTCCCCATAATAAAGGTGTATTGTAGCCTTTATTGTGTGGACTATTTATAAAAGGTATAAAAACACGATATGTGGCCATAAACTTCCAATGGAGGACGAGGCTTTCTGTGGATCCCTGCAGGGAAATCAAAGGAATATTATAGAGATTTCTCCTCAGGCGTGTTAGTCTCCAGCCTCGGCTGTTCAGCTAAAGGGAGGGCTGAAAGACACAACAATAGCTGATTGCAATTAACTACGCCTCTCCGCCTCGCCCCTGTCCGCTTAAATCGACACTTTGTGAGTCCATATGGCCTTTAGTGTACCGTGGGAATGAACACAATTAAAAGCAGAATATGGATTTCTGGAGTTACCCGGCGAAAGCACAGCAAGCTGTCAAGGTCAGGGTGTCAGTGAGCGGGGCCCTGCAGCCCGGCCCGGCCCCGACCCACCGGACCGCCAGGCACGGGTATGGGAGGTGTGCACCATCAGTAACTGTTACCATTTTCCTGGAGACAGTTGGTAAATTGATTGCTTGATAAGGCATCATTACAAAACAGATTCGTATGTAATTATTTATTTTATTACTATTTATTAGTGATATTATAATATTGTTTATTATCAAAGTGATTTTTTTCTGCACCAGATGTTATGTTTTTGTACACTTCTGTTATCTTTTTGGTGGCCAAAGTGTGAAGAGTGTTAAAACAACAGCATATAGGTCTACAGTAAATGCAGGAGAGAAGTCAAATGGATAAACAATAAATAAAATATTAAGTGTGATGATGTCAGAACTGAAATTCACTTACTATCTTTATAAGTAAGAGGTTATCATGATTGTTGTTGTATCGTCACTTCTAAAGGCAGGATTATTTATCTATTAATGTATATATGTGTGTATATATACAGTATATGTATTTTAGTTAACGTTTCCTTAAGCCATAATGTTTAAAATGCAGAAGAAGAAGAAGTGCATTTTCTGTTTGTATGGAAAGATTGTTTTTTAACTATATTGAATAAATTGCGTCTGTTGCGCATAAAAAAGCTTTTTATTTATCCATTACATCACATGCAGGAGCCATGAAAAGAAAGACAAATTGCTGACATGCAACAACCTTAGAAAATTAAAATTGAAAAGTATTCTTCAGCAGTTATATGTATGTAGCAATATGTTATAATAACAACTATTTAATTAATCATTAATGTAGCCAAAAGAAAAACAATTTCTTCCTCAGCTATTTGACAGTTGTGACTGATCAGTGTCTATAGTGGGCCAACACATTCCCAAGCACTTATCCATGAATCTTAAGGACTGCATGTGTAACCAGACACACTTGTGAAGGAAATGAGGAGCACTGACACTTTTTTCTATGTCTGAGCCCCATAACCACCCCACCCCTCTAGTAGCCTCTTAGTAATCAAACAATATAACTCAGCATTCCTGATATTGTTTATGGTCATAACTGCAACTTGTCTGAAGCAACGTCTTCAATTCAGCTCCATTTGTTGTTTTATTTCGAATATGCAATGCATAACGTGATATTTAGAATCGTGTTTTTAGATACGGTTTATATTGGCATTATTAATGCTCAAGTCTTTTGAGTTGGTTATTGGGAGACGTGCCCCCTAAATAAATGCATCTGCAGCGAAAACAAATCTAAATGCAGCAGAAAATGTGCGTGCAACACGTGTTTTTTTTTTGCTTGCAATGCCTTTTGATCCATGAGCAAGGCACTGCACATTACTTGCAAGCATATTCACACGATCACTCACACATACACAGACACGCTCGCTCACACGCCAGTGACGTCAGGCTGGAGTTTGGAGTAGAAAGCCAAGTGGATGAAGGAAGTGGAGATCTCCACCCTCCAGCCTCCCCTGACACTTCTCATAAATATTACCGAGGCTTATTTGAGGATCTCGTACCACAAAGTCACACCGTGTTCTGGTTTTAACAAGCTTGCACTTGTCAGAATATCCAAAAATTGTTTTTTCACATCGGGTTGGCACCGTCGGAAGCGCTCTAGGCTGCGTTTTTCCAACTCCAACTTTATGCACCGGCTGTTGCTCCCAGAGCTGGAGGGCTGCTGTTGCCGTTAACCGGTCGCTACAGTCCGGTTCTCCATCCGTAGCCTACAGGGACCCTGCACATCGGAGGCGAAGATTGTCTGATACAATGTGCAATTGTGTGTCTTAATTTGGACTCGGCGATCGGCGATCTACTTTGTCAAGTTGGGCAATTCGGGACATTGACTTGCCGATCTCATCGCCGCCAGTAAAGACGTCAAGGAAAGTGCTGCGTCTCACGAGTTTGATTGTTTTTGTCAGCAACAACAAGAAGAGAAAGAGGAACATTTTCATTCTCAACTTTGTTATTAAGTCGAGTGTCCACGATGAGCAAACCCGCTGGCTCAACAAGTGGCTGTCTGGATATTCTGAATGTCAAATCAAGTAAGTGTTCTCTTTCCTGATGCTCCTGGAGAATATTGAGTAGCCCGGTGTGTTAGAACAAGTGGTCTATAATGGACCTCTCGCTGACATGTAAAACATGAACATAAAGCATGCTGCACATTGACTGCACGCACTCGAGCTTCACTACAATAATTAAGTCGGCTCGTTCCTCACGGTCTTGCAGAAATGTGAGTAGTGATCCGTGGGGAATAGCTGTTTCTTTTCCCGAGTTGGCTGCGTAAACTTTGTGTCCATGACCGATAATTAAAGCGGTCTCAGTTTCTCATCCCTTACGTTGGACACGTACTTTTTGTGAAGTTGACCAAGTTTGCAGAAGGAAAATAAATAATAGCCATGCTCCGAGATGCCACTTGTTGCCTGTAACCTAATTGAGCAACTTCTATGAAATTGTATAAAAAGCGAGATATTTAATCACTGATAATATACGATTTTAAAGCCTGTAGATTATTCTCTTACTGGATTGCTGGTTTGCTATTTTAGACAAATTAATCAACAGCGTTTATTTGTCTGCTACCGTGCATTTCTGTACTAGGCTACTGTAAAAAAAAACTTATTTATCTATTAATCACAAATGCGTTCAGTGGTTTTGAATACAATTGTTGAGTATTTTTCTTCTGGTATTGAAGATTTTCTAGTGGTTTAAGGTTTGACATTAAATTGGATTTGTTTTCTTAACCTTCGCAGTCTCTGTTAGGCCTCACAATAAATCTAAAATTAAATCGCAGTTAGCTATAGGCCTAAAGTATAGATTATTTTTGTGTTTCAAAAGATAGGACATTTCTATAGATTTTACATTTGCCTGTGTGTCTCTTTCAGTATCGTTTACCTTGTTCACACGTGTTATTCACGTCAAACTGTTGCTTCTGTGCTTTTTATCGTGCAAGTGGTTAAATGTGTTCGGATTTTATTGATAATAACCAAAATGTTAGAATAAAACAAAGAAAACTTACAACATTACAACCACTGTCACCTCAGTTCTCACCCACATTATGGGTGGTCAGTAAAAACATTTCCTTCAAACTTTATTTCCAGTTCTTTTGACCATGATGGTGATTACGTTAATAGAATATGCCATATATCTTCTAGCAATTACTCAACACAATGGAGACGAATTGGACCCCCACAGCGGGAAATTAAATACATTTCCCCCCTTCACAACAAAATGATGCACCATTTTATTTAATTGACTCTCAGCAATCTACAGTTTAAATAAAATAAAATCTTTTCAGTTTATATTTTGGCCACGTTCATTCATCTTCAATTTAAGTACGTTTGAAACTTTTATTTAGGGGTGCGCAAATGAACTTGACTTGCTGAGCTTTGGTTCATTAAATATCTGTTAATCTGAAATTTACTCCAATGGTCAACATTTTTACCATTAATTTAAAAACAATGATGGCCTATCGACAACTACAAGTGGGGATATAACTTATTCAAGCCTACAGCAGTTGATTTTTTACAATTACTCCCGTGATGAAAAGATGACTTTTAACATATAAACTCTTTTGAGGCATAAATGCTACATAAAAAGTAGGTTCTCTATATCTTATTGCAATTACACGGCTGTGGCCAACAGTTAAATAGCCATCATGGCCTTCTGATTCTTAATAATCTGGCAATTGAAGCCCTATAACTCTCCTCCTGAAGTCATTGTTTTTGCTGCTCAGTAGTTATTCCCATGCTACCCTTTTTGACGGGTCACTGGTGAATCAATGAGCAGGTGGCAAAACGTCAGTGTAATTACATAGACGGCTTTTCCCTCCAGAATAAAAAAAGACTCTCTCATTTGCATACAAATATACTTCTTTTTAATAGATTTGAATACAAAATCTTCACACAAAAAAATCACATTTTTTCATCTACACCGGGGTCGATTTACATACACTTCATTTGAGTTGGTGAAACGAGTTGGTGCGCATTATTCTCATGGTGCAGTGTCACTCCCTAATCCTGGGGCCTATAGACCTGCGGAATAAAGCAGCTGTCGAGTCCCATTATGAAGGGGAGTTGGCAGCTTGTCGAGATCCAGGCAGTCAGACGAGGTTCAATGGGGGAAAATCATTAAGTTAACACTTTCCCCTAATGTCTCCATTGTGCGCCCTCGGGCCATTGTTTTAGAGAGCTGAGATATGACGCTTCCCACCGGACTTTATTCTTGAAATGTGCGCCGTGAATTCCCATGCTCGGCGGAAGTGCGGGGCGCTGTCCAGTGTGTGTGTGTGCGTGTCAGACAAAAAAAAAAGTCATTTGTAGGGCGATTTGTCCATAGCTCCACAGTGAAATGTCTAAAACGTGTTCATTTTTGGGATTACTGTACGTCCACAGGGCCAATTTAAGCAGCTGGTCTCACTTTACTGAACTACAGAACTCGACTCCAAAACTCAGTAAAGCAACCACCTTCTCAAGTTTTGTATCAATTTTAGAAATTGTTCTTGCAATGTATCCAGATGTTCAATATTCACTATAAGCGATAGTCACAATTTGACTTTTCATTCATTTCAATTTAACCCAGGTATTATTCAGGGTATGGTGTCTTATTTAAGTTTGGGCCTTTCTCAGGTCGGATTCTGGACATCCCATGCAAAGTGTGCGGAGACCGCAGCTCGGGGAAACACTATGGTGTTTACGCCTGTGACGGCTGCTCGGGATTCTTCAAGAGGAGCATCCGCAGAAACAGGACGTACGTCTGTAAATCTGGCTCTCAGGTGAGGCCTCCTTCTTATTTCTTATATATCCAAATTTATGTCCTATAGGCTGCGTTATCCTCCTTTCCACCTATGTACATGCGACAAAGGTGCAAACTTTATACGTTAGTACATTTTTGATTGTCTCGTTATGCAATATTTTGGGGAGAATCAAGCAAGTTGCAGAGATGGAAGCTATCACAGGAAATTGTAGTGATGTATGCCTATAATTTACTCAGTGATATTTCATCAGTAATCTACATCCACTGCAGTTGTACAAATATATAATTGTATTCTCACTGTTATCAGAAGCAGGATTTAAGTGGCTCGACGTTCCTGGTCCTCATCCAAAAAAAACATTACATCCAAAAAAAACATTACGAGCTATACGCACGGAATGCGTATTTTACGCGCATATTCTATTTGCTTTTCACTTCTGGTGCCGTATTAAGTCTCATTTGATGAGCCTAATTGTGTCATGCCTGGACCATTAAGTATTGGTCTAAACATCACGCTGCTATAATATAACAGATGTAATCCAATTTAATGTGATGACTCGAAGGCGAGGATTTAGGCAGCAGAGGGCGGGATAGAGTACTTATCCTCCGGGATGAGGCCGCACTGGAGCCGCAGGGGAGCATGGTCGATAATAGCTCGATCTCTCACCTGGAGATTGGCCTCCCAGGAAGATAATAGCAAGAAGCCTTCAGTTGTGCAAGATGAGAGAAATTCAACTGATGGATATTTCTCCCTTTCTCTCTCTCAGGGGGGCTGTCCCGTGGACAAAACACACAGAAACCAGTGCCGAGCGTGCCGTTTGAAAAAGTGTCTAGAAGTGAACATGAATAAAGACGGTAAATGGGTGTAATTGAATTATCACTTTGGCCATTGACACGCCATGCAGTGACCTTTGGTTTGGAGTTGGGCAACACGCATGGAAAAGTGTATTAATGCTGTTTATGAAGGCTGAAAATAAGTAACAGGTTGATAATTAGGCTACCTTATCTTGTTATCTTCTTTTAAACGTTATTACACTCTGTGGGAGTATTGATAGATTACATCTTTCAAGCAAACAAAACATGCAATTTGACTCCCTAATTTCAGGAACACATTTAGTTCAATAAAATAAACTAGTCACTATAGTTTTTGAAAATATATATAAAATATAAAATTCAAACAAGCCATTCACTCCAGCAGAGGTCATTCGTTCACTTTGTGTCCTCGCTGTCCCGTTTCACAGCCGTTCAACACGAGAGGGGACCCCGGACGTCCACCATCCGCAAACAAGTGGCCCTATATTTCCGAGGCCACAAAGAGGTGAACGGATCATCGACCCATTTCCCGGGATCCTCTCTGGCCGGCCCTCCCTTCTTCACCACGGTCACGCAACTGGAGCCTCACAACCTGGAGATGAGCGGAGTAGCCACCACACCGGAAAGACAAGCCATCGTGGGTCTGGCACAGCCCACCCCGAAGGTATATTTTGTACGTTTTTTTCTTTCTTTCCAGTTTTACATAGCTATACGTTATAGGTAGTTTTCTACCTCCAAATATTTAGTTGCAGTGTACCAACAAATATGTGCTTTCTTTGGAGTTTTCAGTTGACATGTATAGCATTTCATGTAATGCTTTGAATTATCAGAATATACAATTCCTTTAATTTTTGATACTCCTTTAATTTTTGATACTCCTTTAATTTTTGATACTATTTGTATTATAGCCTTCCAAAATGTTATTATAGGATTACAGTTTTCTCCGTCAGGGTTAGAAGTTGAAATTCTTGTCCTGATTTAGCAGCAAATCCGCCTATTTAGTGCTGTAAATCCACCACAAGTAACACTAATGATTATAAAACCAGGTGCTGGGGCTTGGAATTTGATCTTTATTGTTGTTCACCACTCTGTAAACTGTGTTTCATTCTAACATAAACTGATGATGGTGATGATGACAATGTCTTTTTCACTTCCTCCAGTATCCCCATGAAGTCAGCGGCACCCCCCTGTACCTCTACGAGGTGGCGACGGAGTCTGTGTGCGAGTCAGCGGCGCGCCTCCTTTTCATGAGCATCAAGTGGGCAAAGAGTGTTCCCGCATTCTCCACTCTCCCCTTATCTGACCAGGTACGCTTTGGAGCCCACATATTATTCCGTAGGGCCTTTTAACACGAGCCATAGCCAAGAAAAAACGGTCAGGAGTCGATTCGGTCCCCAACTGACGTTTTAGATATTTTGATTTGATTCAATTTCATGTGTAATATTTTACGTCAAATGATTGCCAAACGAACTATCCTATGCGCAACAGAAATAAATACCCATCATTACGCACACGTTACTACTGCATTGGTACCTTATAAGATTCAAAAAGGCTTGCAATTTATAATCAATTTCTTCATTGTGGTGTGCAGTTTAACACAACTATTCCTCTCTGCAGCTGATTCTGTTGGAGGACGCTTGGAGGGAATTGTTTGTTCTGGGTATCGCGCAATGGGCCATTCCGGTGGACTCTACTACTCTGCTTGCCGTTTCAGGTAAGGTTATCAAGGCACGAGAAAGCTTATCCGACTACAGATCACTGACAGGTCTCACTGACTGCATATAATGTTGTCCTGCATAATGGCATTGTCTCCATATTTATTCGTAGGAATGAACACCGAAAACACAGAGTCTCAGCGGATGAATAAGATCATATCTGAGATACAAGCACTTCAAGAGGTGGTAACCAGATTCAGACAGATGCGTCTCGATGCAACAGAGTTCGCCTGTTTGAAATGTATCGTGACATTTAAAGCCGGTGAGTGCTGTTGTCTTAATGGGTATTTGACCATTTTCTCATTTACCGGAAGTTGTTATTGCCACTGAAATGCCCTGAAGCTTCTGCTGCCTAAACTCAACTCTGGAGAGGGAAGAGGAATTAGAGCAAAAGTTATTTTAGCAATGAATGCATGTCACTATTCGTGTAGTACAACAGCTTTTTGATAGCTAAAACCCTTCCTCTGTCTTATAGTTCCGACCCATGGCAACACAGAGTTAAGAAGTTTCCGCAACGCCAGCGCCATTGCTGCACTGCAAGACGAGGCACAGCTCACTCTCAACAGTTACATACACACCAGGTAAAATCAATCTATCTATCTCTGTCATATTTCAGGCCTATGTTGAACCGCCTCCTGCAAGTATTAGCAGCCAGAGTCATTATGAAGTGAATAAGGCAATACGCCACTGTAATTGTGAACAGGTGCGACGGCTGAACCTCGTTTTTAATTAGCAGCCATTTCTATCACAGGTGTGAGTTAATTGGATAGGCTTTATCTCTGCTTATAGAACCGGAGAGAGGCGCTGTTCTTGACCCCAGTAATGTGTTTCAGATACCCGACTCAGCCGTGTCGCTTCGGAAAGCTGCTCCTGCTCCTGCCGGCGCTCCGCTCGGTGGGTCCGTCCACCATAGAGGAGGTGTTCTTCAAGAAGACCATCGGCAACGTTCCCATCACCAGGCTCCTCTCCGACATGTACAAGTCCAGCGATATATGAATTCTCGCCACCTGAAAAAGACTTGAACTGAAGGCCCAGAGACCCACACAGCAGTCGACAGAACGACAAATCATGGCAGGTGTAACCGTGGGTTGAATTATTGCTGAGCACACAATCTATTAGGCTGTCTTAAAGTAGCCTATTGAGGCCTATAGGCTCTGACTGCAACACAGCCGGAATTCCCCAAGTAGCCTGTTAGCAGTTGCTCTAGTTAAAGAATAGCCTGTAACTTTCATTAGAATGACCTGTGTGAAACTGAACACGTGCGGGCACAGGCAGCCCACAGTGTTTAAATATCGCCTAAAGACTCTGGAGAGTATCTGACAAGTGTGTCTGACAAAGAAATGTTATATATTAAGAAGTTTTTCGAGTGTCTGTGAGACCAATGAGCTTGACGACCAATTCAGTCATTTATTGCTGTGATCAATCCCAATGGAGGAAACCGAAAAAAAAAGAAAAGATGACCGCATGCGTAACGGGGGATGTGTATCGCTGTCCCTCGATCTGGTGCTGAAACCAAATGCACGGGGCAAAGAAGAACTCTATGAAGATTTAGGGGGGAAGACTTTTAAAGGACATGCTGCTTGCATTGCCTCCCGACTGTAAAACTACATTCATCTGAAGACGGTGTTTGTATTTAAGTGGTAACTGTCCTTTACGTGTTGGTGTGTCCTGTTTGAGGCTGTTTTAGGTCGAATTTTTGAAGTTAGGCACCAACACTGGATAAAAATATTCAGCACTTGGAAATGTTTTTGTGGCCTGTGATGTTTTTATTCTGTTGTAAATATTTGGAGTTAACACCATTTAGAGTTGTAACCGAGAGAATAAAAAAACACTGAACTAAACTGCTCTTAAATAACCATAGGTATAAAACTACCAGCTGAAACGTAATGGTCAACAATGGTGATGCTCCTCTCAGATCTAAATTTTGTTATCAATGTATAGTATATTTTCAAAAGATTTGTTGATACATACATTTATCTACCACCAAAGTAGCTGGAACCAATTTACAAAAAAAAAAAAAAAATGCATTTCAGATCCATGCATTTGATCGGCCTCAATTTTGACTCCGTCACATTTATAAGCTTTAGGGTGGCACACAAATTAAGTGATTACAGGGTGTAAATAGTTCATGTAATGTCACAAAGTATGAAGTAGTACAGATAAAGTACTGCTGTGCTTTCAGAGGCTAATCAGGCCCTCAGGGTACAAGCGAATTTAACATTAACAATCACTATATATTATCAGTAAAGTCTGACTTGATCATAATTAATCCATGCATTAACTGATCAAGAGTCATTGATTACATAGGGATTACCTATGCATGTGTTTAGCACCGATATAACGGGTTACCGATTCCCTTTTAGAAGTAGCCTACTCTATTCTAAACACTCAGGACAGTTTAAATAAACTCTGGTCATAGGCCTAAACCTTTTTTTGTGATTAAAATGACATGTATACATTAAAAAAGTAATGTAATACATTTGGGGTTAGCTGTAATGGTTGTGGCAGCTTGTTTGAAACATCAACAGTCCAAATCAACAAATGTAATTATGCATGGAGACATTTCACCTATTTTATTGGAAAATCTTCAAAATAAACAAAAATGGCACAGCAGTATACAAATCTCAAAATGCATATAACCAGTAGAAATACTGCAGTTCCCTCTGTGTAAATTACTTCTTTCGTACTAGAAAATCATTGTGATAACTGCGCAGGTGCTGGTCGATACACACACATGCTTCGTTTTTGAGAGAGGATCAACTAAGTGTGATTTGAGAGTAAGGGCCCATCAAACATATGTGCGTGTGTGTGTTTAGTTGCTAATTATGGTGCGCAACATGCCAGTATTGGATATATATATGGATATATATATAGATATATATATAGATATATGAATGATAGGAAACTGTGGGTTTGACTCAAGAGCTTTGCATACACACGCTCATTAAATGTTTTTATATAAATGAATATATTCAAGACATAGCTAAATGATAAATACATAATATATCCATGTTAGTGGCATTTCCAGACATAAAAAGAAATCACGATAAATTGTCAACCACAGTTATGTGTCGAACATTCTTGACTCCAATTAGAAAGTGAAAACAAACACCAATAAGGTCACTAATTTAACTAAAGGAAGTAAACATAGTATTTTGGGAGGGGAAGCTGTCATTGAAATGTTTATTGTCTTGAGAGAAACATGGAGCAGTGAAGAGAGCTTTGGGTTGTCGGGCCACGCTGGACTGAGTAGGGCCGAGTCAGACCATGCCAAGCAGAGCCATCTTTGTTTCTTTCAGGCTTGTCTGATTTTGGATGGGGTGTAGTTCTTGTCCACGGACTCGTCCTGTAGAAACATGTGCAGGCATCGTTCGTTCTGAGCTAGAGGGTGACCTGCCACTCTGAAACACAGAAGAGCAAAAGGCAGGTTTGAAATGAGAGTCACAAGTTCAAAGACGAGGCTTGGTGACTTGAATGTACCTTTGGACACGGGGACACAGATGAACGGACGGGGACTGACGGGGGCATTAGACTGCTGGATTCAAAGATCAGTCTAGATTCAGCATCTATTGTCTATATTGGCTAACAGTGTAAACAACAGCAACAGTGCTGAATAGAGCCAACAGTGTAACCAGAGGGTGGGCCTGCGTTATCAGCTGTAACTGCTGTATAAGTGCAGTGGGGGGGGGGGGCTTCAGCTAGCCAGTGAGATACGCTCACATACATTAAAAAGGTGCGCACAACCGGTCAGAAGTCAAAGCACAGAGAAGCTTGGATTAGAAAACAGACTGATTTGTTTACAGTACGCTGCACAAGTAAACAACCACCTCAAACATCTTCCAATGCCTCAAATCTACACGACACTATAAAGACACCTACCTGCACAACATGTTGCTCCGATGCAAGTTCTAATTTGTGTAGATATACACACCGTGTCCCACTTCCCCACTAAGTGTTAACAGTATGTACTGCATACTTCTCTTTATAGCATGCTGCTTTTGCAGTCAATATACAATACATCAACAGGAAATTAAACTGCCAATTAATGTCGCTCCAAACCTGAAATAGTTCTCAGATAATAAAAATAACTTATCTTTATTTTCTCCATTTCCTTTGTGCAAAGCATTGTGGGAGAATAGCGTCACACTCAAAAATAAAGGGTTTGTGGCATATTGGTAGCCTAGGGGCAAGGGACCTTTGTTGCATGTCCTTCCTCTTATATCCTGGTGTCACTCTACTGTTTCTACAATAACATGAACAACTAGTAGACATGAAAAACTCAAAACCTGCTGAGCGGTGGTGTTTAGAATGGATTTGGGACACAAACATAAAAGGTCTCTAGCGGGAAAGGGGATGTTGAGAGTACGTGGTATTCATCTTGACCACTCGTCTACAATGAAACTTCAGGATTATATCTTACAATCTTTGCAATAATCAATATGCTATTAATAAATCTAGTTAACAGTGATAAAACTTGGACCATACACACCGATTAGTAGTACAGGGCCTGTAGATTTCACTTGTGTCACAGATTTTCACACAACTTAAGGTAAGTTTATCTTGAGGCTTTGGTGAATGCGTCTTTATTATCCTATGATTTACCTAAATCAATCTGCACTTTTCATGCCCTTCAGTCCCAGTCATACAGAAGATGCTGTATGACTGGGACTGTGTCTTCCTCTGTTAAAGTCACTTTGACATTAGGCTTCCCCAAATGTCCCTTCAGATGACGCAAAAGGAGCTTAACGAGAACAAGCCAGTGCACCTGAGACCCTAAAAACATCCCATTTTATCAAATGGTAAATTTCTCAGAACAGATCAACATGATGACATTGTACGTATGCATCCATCTTAACCTCTAACGGGAAATATTTTAGACAAATTAAGCGGGGGAAGCATTGACTGTGGTCTAATACCGGGGCAATCACTGGAGAGATCATGCCTGCTCCCCAACATACCCTGTTTAATGGGTTTTGGAAATGGAGACGTTGACATTGAGGACAAGGTGCAGCATGTTAAAATGTCAAGGCACTGCTTGAAGTAGGGATGTAAGCCCTTCCTCTGTACCTGAAGCATGAATTATGTTTGACTAGCCTAATCAAAAACTGATGGTTATCTCCTCTCCTCCCTCTCACTTGTTTCACAGCGACAATCATGTTTACCATTCCTAAAGATTCCCTCTTCACAATGCTCTCAATCACAGATTAAACAATGCTGCCAGCCACATCGGGCAGTATTAAAGTCTGAACAATGATATGATCAACAGCAGTGTTTCATTCATGGGAAGCAAGGGGGGGGGGAGATCTTAATTACCAACACATTCTCATCTTCTTTAAAAAACATATTTATGGATTTTAATTCTCTCAACTGTCTTTGAGCACTTAATATTCCGAAAGGAAACATTGATGCATTTGCACATGAAACAAAGATAATGGCCAAGTCTGCAATCAAAGCAAATAATTACAATCACACTGTAACTTTTATTGTTCCGCAGCTGAAAATGAGGACATGCTGGATCAAAAATAAGCAGAGGTACACACACGATCCAACGGAACCACGCGCTGTAATTTGAGCGGCAATTATCATAAATTACACATCAACAATAAAACAAATGTGGGGAAAATGATGTTGTGGGGGTGCACACTTGAGTCCTCTTTGGTTGTTCTTGTCCTCTGCGAGGTAATTATACCGGGGAATTAAGGAGGATAGTGAAGAAAAAGACCCGTCTGTCTCTGCCGGTTCAGTTTGTTAACAATGTGGAGAGAAGTGAAAAAGTTGAATCCACTTATTGCACAAAGTGTTTTATTGTTCTTGAGAGTTAAAATAATAGCTCACTAAAGGCCAGAGCTGCAAACAACTGCAGCTACAAAGAAAACAAATTTAAAAGGAATAAATTATTGAAGCTCATTGGCAAAGTAGCGGAGGAAGATGTGGAAAGGCTTACTTATTGAGAAACTGCTCCAGAGCCTGTCGCCGGTCTTCTATGAAAGAGTCGTCAAATATCCCATCATCCCCTCGAAACGGAAGCTGCCGGAAAAGAGCTTTTCCTGGGAGAGGTGGGACGACCACCTGCGACAAAAGAGCATCCGCAGAAAATCATACAACAGCAGTTACACAGGCATACACGACTTATTCATTAATTAGTGCTTACAATTAACAGAGTACAACATTTAGAAGAAGAAAAAAAAAAAAAAGACAGCTCACTAAACTATGAGCCTGTAGTGATCATGTCACATGTCATGTGACCGTTTGATGCGACAGGACGAAGAACACGGACCACATTCAGATCTTCAACACAAAGATCTATGAACAACTTTCTCTCACGTGCAAAAACATCGCAGATGTGATCAATGTCTAATGTTGGTTTAATAAGCCAAGTACTCAAGAACCTGTGTGTCGAGTTCACCTCAAAGGCTCACCTTGCTTTCCCTCTCCAGCTCTGCTCTGAGCCACTCAAAGTCGCTGTACCGCCTCCGTACACTGGACTCCTTCAGCTTGAAGATTGGTAGGTTGGTCTGTGGACACACAAGCACACACAAAGTTGGCAAATTGCTGTATAGCCGTCTCCTTTAAGTGTTGCCTGGATTTACGGAAAAATTCTCCCTTTGCCTGCAGATGGAAGAATACATTTTCAAGAAATGACAGAGATGGTTTTCATTTCTGGGACCCCACGTTTAGCCAGCGTCTGTACACATTCTAAATCTACCGTAGTGTATGTATGGCTACAATGAAGCTATTAGGGCTTCACTATTAATCGTTTCATCCTAAGACATAAAATAATGTTTGCTCGTTTTGTCCGACCCAAAGTCTAACACCTAAATATTTTTACTTCACAAAAGAGAAACTTGATGGCGGTTTTATGTAAGCGATAATGCGCCACATGGTGTCAATATAATAAAATGATCAATACTTCCCTTTAGAGCTGAAACAATTATTTGCTTCTGTGATCGACAAAAAACTAAAAACTGTTTTGATAATCTGTTCAATGTTCAAGTCATTTTATTCATTCAATCAGTTGTTCCCACTTTCAAACCTGAAGAAGAAAAAGACTCATCCAAATTGAACCAAAAATTGAAAAGTTCACTCTTGTTTTGCTCACCAAGGTCTATCGCACTCCAAATTCTTTTTTTGCCATTTCTGTGTGTTCTTGTACAGCAAAGAGCAGATGTGTGCATAATTCTAAGCTGCTGTTGACAAGCACTCGAGAGTGAATTTCATGTTAGAAGGGCAAGATGTTTCGACACAGAAAACATTGAGCAAACGGCACATTACAGCACAATGCCAAACCTCTTCAATAGTCCCGACAGCACATGGCCATGCCATGACAATGCACAAACAAAGGAGGGGGGGCGGGACTGAGCATTTCATTGGCAGGCCACATTCACAGAAGGTCAGAATTCATGGAAGACGGAATCACAAGAGCAAAGCAATTGAGCAAGTAGGTGCAGCATGAATATAGTGTGAGCTGCGGACGGATCGATAAGCAGCCGACTGACTGTGTGCAGTAGAGGGGATGGGGAGTTAACTGGAAGGCTGAGTAAATGGCTGAACAAAAGGGGAGAGGGAGGCGCTGTACGTGGTCATAAAGGAAGAGCAGAGAAACTAGAGGGGTTCAGGAGCTTCATCTGGTCTGTGCAGGACTAATTGAGGAGGAGGGAGAGCAGGAGTGGTCTTTTCACTCTCATGGTCTCTCCCATTCAGTCTTTTTCCTCTTTATTTCCCTTGTTCTGCAATAATAAGTCAGATTTTCTGCCCTTGAGACTCCTCTTGTGGCGTTTCAATGGGGAAAATGCCAGCATTTGTTTTATTCCCTCTTTGCTCCGTCCTCTCTTCAGAAATTCAAAAATGATGGATTCTACCCAGATTTGGAAGGAAAGAAAATGAGAGCTGCCTTTCAACAGACTCATTTCCTGTTTGACTGTAAAACAAATCTTAAATCATTGAAAGAGAACCCTGGTTTATGTCACAGTATACACTCAGGTCTATTATAAACACCTCGCTAAAACTAATGCAGTGCAACAGTCCTGCAAAAAAAAAAAAAAAAAAAAAAAAAATTATATATGTATCATTTGGAGGATGCAGTTTGTGGGGCTCTTAATTTGCATTGTTTCTATTATTTTTTTTCCACTCCATTTTGTCAATGAGGGTATCTCTGTAAGTGTTTAGATGTTTGTTTTTAAACATTGTACATTGTGTTTCTATGGGATTGAATCTGTCTGTGACAGAGAAAGAGGTGTGAGAGTGAATATGAAGTGTAGTTTGTTACCCTGTCCCTTTACATCTCCTGTGTTTCACTGTTATTCACTTTTCTTGTGCTTTGTGTGTTTTGAAAGCTGATCATTACATTACCCGTGTATGTGATACCACCTGATTTCAAAATCTGCTTTACAAACTCTTTAGTTAATGAGGCCCTAACTTCAGCGCTTACTGCAACACGAAAGCTGTTTCACTCTGACCCCATGAAACAAGCTTTGTTTTTAACCACCACCACAAGCCTCAAAGCTATTTTTCTAATCAAACTAATTACTTTGTGCCTGGTATGTTTTTGTGAACTGTGTTTTCATGTGACTCCACCAGCGCTGGAAACTTCCCTTTCCCACTTGTTTCAGGTTCTCCCCAGGTGAAGCCGTCAGTGAGCCCCTCACTCCTTCTCTTTCTCAGGTCACAGGAGAAGTGGATTATTTTAGCTTTATCACCCCAGTGCTCCGGCATTAACTCCACTCTCCTCTCTCTCGCCTGTCCCCGCTGCGTCATGTTACCTCACAGCATGGAGTGCCGCAAAGTTAATCCCCACCACAACAGATCACAGTTACAGGTAATCTGCCACCGCCGTGACTCTAATCCCATCATGTGCACACAGAAAACACTCAACCACGCGCAAGCACACACTGAACGTACATGAAGAATGCACGCACAGGTGTTAAGTATGAGGTTTGACCAGTCACACAGTTAACAATGTAAATATAATAGCTATGGCATTCAAGCCGCGTTTATGCACACACAGTCAAACCCGGCCTACTCTCGTCCACACAATGAAGCTAGCAGTGAGAGTGTAAGGAAAGAAAGTCACCTGGCCTTTCAATCCCCTCGCCCTCTCAAACCCGGTGATTAAGAGATTGGCCTTGCGGGACAAGGGGAGGAACGAAAATGACAGAACTGAAAAATGAGAGGTCTCACTCACTCTCTTTCTCACACACACACACACACACACACACACACACACACACTGAAAGAGGCGGTTCGTGAGAGCTCTACGAGTCAAAGATAAGGTTTCCATGGCGGGTTTTTTCTCTTCACGGCTGGTTAAAGGCGAGGGCCCGGGTGTCTCAACTTACTGGCCCCTGCAGTGATTAGGAGGTGGGACCAGTCCACATCCAGCCGGGTGTTAGCATTACATTAATTGTCTAAAAAGGCACACTTCGGCTCTTTCACGTTCTACAGGAGAGAATAAAACATAAAAGAGGAAGGACAGGACAGTGAAAGACATGAAGTTAGCCGAAGAGACAAAAATGCAACATCCAAACACCCAAATAAGTAATTAATGGTCATGTTAAAAGCAGGTTTAAAAGGATGCCGTATTATTTTTTTTTTATAAAAAAGGACCATAAAGCTAGATGTACCTCCTTCAAAGTAAACCTTCTAGCTTCACTTTCCATTAGGAGTGTACAATCTACGCTCTATAGGAAGAGCATGCGATTCATAATGTGTGGGATACAATACCTTCGGCTCATTGAAACTGGGCTGAAAAGAGACCCTTAAAAAACAGCAAGAAAGAGGGAGAGATGGGACAAAGATCACTCCTCTCCTGAGAGAACAGTTCAAGGCCACCATGCATTAGCTTTTAGCAGGATGGATTGAGTCAAGTTTGAGTGTGTGCATCCTAAACCTCCCTCATGCCCTCTTCTTACCCCTCCCATATACTCTCCTTTTCAGAAGAATAGCATAAAAAAATGGCAACATAATACCGTTTCATTGCATCATATTGCAAAATTGGGGGGGGGGGGGAGAGACCGGGAACAAAAGCGCTGGGGCTTGGTCTTTTGCTCTCGCCTTTCCATATACCCTCTCACTCGTTCACTCGCTCGCCGGCTCCTGCGGCCTGACAGCCTACCCTCTCTCTCCGACTCGCCGAGCTGGCAAAAAGCTGCTTTGTTGCCATAGTATCAACTCCCACTTTTGATACTGTCATTTCAAGTAGGATATGGTAGCCTTGATACAATATGTTCCCTATTTCCATTAAAATAGTTGTCGAAGAGGATGCTGTAGACTTTGGATTACACTTGACTGTGCCTGACAAGCCCCCCCCCCCCCCCCCCGAAAGACACACACACACCCCATCTCTCCCCAGTTTATTAATGACCAAAGGCGCCCGCCCCAAAGCCCAAATGGAAAAGAGAAAGAAAGAGAGAGGGAGAAGAGACGAGGAGGGGTAGGAGACTGAGTGAGCGACAGAGCTATAAGAGGCCTTTTATGTACTCCAATCCATAAACAAAGTGAGATCCCAAAGTTTGCTCCCCTGAATGTGCTCTCTGGATGAGATGGGAACCAACTAAAGACAAGACATTCTGATAATACCCAACAACCCTCCCTCTCCCTCTCTCTCGGGTCCAAATACAGTATGCTGCTTCAGGGGGTTCTCTCAAACCAGAAACCACCAAAAAAAATACATTAAAGTGGTACAATAGGACTCTGCAGAATAAGTCATTAGAAACATTACACATATGTGCAAAGGCAGAAAATAAAGAACACCAAAGATGCCAGCTTCCTGTGGTCTATAAACCATTTAAGAAACTACGCTTAAAACGAAGGGATTTAGATTTAAAAATCCATTGTTTCCACACGACTCTGGACATTACAAGTCTGCTCAGGCAAAAGGAGATATCCGCCTCCTTTCATGACGAACTTAGCTTCCACTTCTTTAAAAACCCGACTGAAATAAGTGGATTAATCCCATTGATTTTAAACACCAGATGCAGGCCTCGATGTCAACAGGTGACGGTGTAACAGTTAACTTCTCACATGATAACCCAACCTTTAGACGGTTTGTTTCACCACTAACTTGATAAACATTCAAACGCTGCCAATGAGTCACGAGCCAAATGCATAAGCTGACATTGGAATTAAATATAGTCAAACTAAACTTTATAATTTCATAGCAGGTAATAAGCCTCTGCTGTGGTGTCTCCACTATACATTCAACCACATATAGTTATCAAAGGGGGCTTCAGTAACACATTATGAACGAGGCAAGTGACTGCACACAGCTGGGAGTGAAATGGGATAAGTGGGCAATGGGATGAAGGCTGGTGAGGAGGTGGCTTTCTGCCCTCCCATGGGTGGGGGGCGTGGGGGGGTAAGGATGGGGAATAAACTCCAGCTCCCCCCACACCCTGGCCTGTTTCATTCTTCTCTTCTCTCAATGAGGGGATTAGAGAGACTCTCTCAGTGCGGCCACAAGGGCTCTCTCGATCTTGAGGTGGATAGCAGGACAGCAGTGGGAACAGGAGACAAGGGAACGAGTTATAAACAGAGACTGTCGAGCATAATGCCGTGATAGAATTAAAGTTTCTAAATATTATAAGGAAAAAGCAAAGCACGGTCTATGCATTCCAGGCCGAGGCATTGTGGCTAACACTCTTAGCGTGCTGGCGATGGAGTAAAACGCTTCTAAAGAAAGCTGAAGAAAGGAGAAGGAGAGATGCAGAGCAAAGTTGACACCACGTTTGTTGAGAAGTGAGGGATGCGCCGCTTCTTCTGTGGTCTTATGCAAAGCAGGGTCACACAGGGCTATGAGGTGCACAATAATGGTGATTACACGCATATGCTAATTATTACACGCTAATCAAGTACAGTAGCCTTATATTCACCGCTAATGCCTGGAGACGGCTTCTCTTCCCTCAACCCGTTTCTTTAAGGTAAAGCGAAACTATAAATACTTTAGAGCCGCTCAGCGATCTAAATACTCCAGGCCACTAACTACAGGGGTGTCAGTCAACTAAAATGACAACTTAAAGATAAGAGATTGGACAATCAGATGTGATTAGTGACTGCCTGACAATTTCAGACTCTCAATACAGCAAATAGTAGAGTCCTGGAACGGCTTAATTTATGCAACATTATATTTGGTGACAGACATGATGGAAAATGAAATGTGCAAATGTCTTTTTTTTTGTCAAGTCCTGAAAATGGTGCCATTATAAAAAGGTAATCCTACCACTTCCTCGTATGTTTGTGTTGGCAACTTATTGGATAAAGACTCTTACAGCTCATCATATCATAACTGAGCACTGAAACAATACCTAATTTAAGCTTGATAAATCGTTCTTGGCCTTGGAAACAGCAGGTGAAAAAAGCTCTCAGTCCAAGATCCTCAAAGTTGCTTTGCTCTGGAGCTTTCAACCATGTGACAGTCTTTCACAGTCAAATTCATAGTCAAATAATTCATAATTATGCATTATGCATTATGAATTATTCATAATTCAATAATTCATTCATAGTCAAATAATAATTTGACATAGTCAAATTCATCCCCACATTGAATTTGCTTTGTTGTCATTGAACTGTAGAAGTTCAAACTTTCTATTGTCCTATACACAGGACGTCTTGTTCATGTGGGTTTCGTTTGGAAATCTAGATTTCGAGTACAACTGAGACAACTCCTATCCGCTGATAAAGACTGATATGTTTTTTTTGGTGAATTATTTAGTATGATCATTGACACATGATGAAACCACCAAAAAATACACCGGATCCGTGTTTTGCAATAGCTAAGATTGTCCAACTGTTATTCTCCTCTCCGATTGCTCAACAATGCCAAACTTCTGGACAGTGTGAGCCAATAGTCTAATGCATACACAAGCATTTAGACCCACATGCTTCTTTACAGGAAGGTACATGCAGACACCAGCAGTAATGCTACTGCACTGTAAGACTATTACATTATTACTTCCCCCAGCTTTTACTCCATGTTTTTATCCTTAGCTGTTTATATGTGGATTTGGTAGTATTCTTTTTCTTGTTTCTATGTATATTGTAAACGTTTTTACAAGTCTTATTTATCCACTGCCCAAATTTAGTTCCTCGTGGACATTTAAGTATTTTGAGTTAAACTATGGATGGTAGGAGCTAAGAGGAAAAACATTTCTTCTCCACTATAAGTTCTTCAGAAGAGTAGGAGGAAGGAAATGTGTTTAGGGGGGGTGGGAGAGACTGGAAATGATCCAGCAGCACAATACATCCTGCCTACAGTTCCAGAGAAGCTGACTTGCTAAGTTATGTTCCCCTTTGGCCCACTACTTTGGATGACTTTTGATGAATAACCAGTAAAGTCAGGACAAACTAAAGCATTCTTAACCCTACCAACATCTCCTATAAAATAACATTCGTATATGGAAGGAGCAAGAAGGGCATTTGGTCATACAGGACTTTTAGGTTTGGTCAATAAGTAACAATTTTGTTATCTTTTCTTTGCAGTCAGAAAATGGGGTGTGGCTGTAATTCAACTCTGAACTGGTCGGGAAGGCTTCAACTTTTAGGAGGAGTCATTCCATCATCGTTTATTCAGCTTGCTGCATGGGTTATAGAACTTTTATTTGCAGACATGTGACTTGTGTCAATTGGTAAAACGGCTGCACTGTGGAAAAACAAGGCTAATGTAAACAAATTCCCTTCATCAGCAGAGCAATTACAACATGTTACCAGTAAAGAAAACTACAGTTAATTATTTGTACTTGTTAACATTGTTGTCTAAATCTCTCGATTACCTAAAACGTTTCGTCAACTAACTTCGACCCATCGCTAACATCAGTAACTAACGTTAACTCGTTAATGTCAGCGAGCTAACCAGTGCTAGCTAGCTTAACGAGCTACTAGCCCGCTTGCTAACGTTGGCTAACTCGTTTCGCACTAAACGCCCACTTTTAGTAGATAATCATTCATACATTTAAATATCGACATCGTTGTTACGTGCACGTCTTTTTGACAGCAGTGAACCTGATGTCAATAAGTCATTACTTTTTTTGACTGCAGGAAAAACGTTAGGTAGCTCAGGTAACTATCTTACGGCTAACGTCATTAGCACTTGTTACTGCAGGCTCACCTTCAGTCTGACTTCATACGTGGTGTATCTGGTCCTGCCGACCCCGGTGGTATCAGGGTTGCTCACATCAATCTCTAGAAAGTTACTTGGGGGTCCATAAGCATCATTTAAGTTCTGAGGCTTAGAGAAGAGCCGTCTTGTGTCAGCTATGGTATCAGCCATTTCTCCCCTGTCCTTCGAGCTGCTGGAATAGTCAGTTAAGTTAGCCAGAATACAAATAGTTACATCCCGTTGGGGAACTTCAAAATAAAACATTTGGTGGATGTTATATCCGCGTAATAAGAAATAAAGACGATAAAGCGCATAATATCATACAAGTGTCTGTATTTACAGATACCATATATTATATATGTAATTTCCAACGTGATTAAAACGCTAACATATCTAAAATGTATAAGAGTAACTTTGATGTTGAAGGCAAATGAGGAGACTTCCGGTATTTCTCTGTGTCTCACTATCGCGAGCTTGAAAGGCCAGCGCGCTGCACTTCCGATCAGCTGAGGTTCAGCTGACACTCCTCGGCCAACAGTCACTCGGTTTGTTTACAACCTGCCAGCCAGCACATTGGCCATAATCGAGTTTTTTTTACAATACATAACTTCAATTGTTTTAATTGTATAATCGGACCAAGCGTGCGTCGCAATGTAAAGTAATTGCTGCTAAGATCAACATAATTGAAGTGCTTCTGGACTTAAAACTTAAAATATTGCTTATTAAAACAAACGTTACTGAGAAAACGACAAGCAGAATATATAATCGTATTAATAAACAAGTACATAACCTGTCCATCTATGGGTTATGTTATAAGTAAGGCTTTTATTTCTACATGTCTTACATTATTGTTTCATTTATTTACCATTTTGTCATTTATTTACTTATTATATGGTGGATTTATTCCTCATAGTGTACATGCTTGAATTTAAATAAATGAGTAGGAAATGTGTTATCTCTGATTAAACGTATTCAAGACATGCCATGCTTGTCATGTGGTTCATATCTGTCAAATGATTGTCAATAAAGTTTTGAGCGTTTTGAAACATCATGGCGGCGTACACGGCCCAGGCAGCCGTCAGACACTCAATATTTGTTTTTCTAAGAGACAGTTTTCTGACTTCAGAGAAAATGTGCCGACTGTCAGCCATTTGCTCTGGAAACGGTGCGTGTCTTTCAGTTATATTGTAGGTGTATGGTATTCATAATGTGGGAGATATCGTGTATTAAACCCAGTCTTCTTAGGTAACTACATCGCTTATAACCTTCGGATCACACTTCACTGTAGCGCCTTCTCTTCACGGTTGCATTGCATCTAACGGTGTATATAGAATCAAGGTGTGTTTGTAAGCTTTGTGTAAGGGTTAACAGAGAATGCTTTTGCTGTAATGCTTTCAAGGTTACGCTGGTTGGAGGACCTGCAGTTCATCCGCATCCTCCTGCTCCCCTGAGTCTCCAGCAGCAGATACTTGTGCCGTCAGTGGACACTATGGTCGCCTTGTTCAGAGTGGCTCTCTGAGGAAAGATGCTCAGCAAAGACATGTTCTCCAGCAGCTGTCTCAGCTGCAGCACACCCTGAAGAACTACAGTAACAACAATCAACTTTCAAAAGATGATAAAGACCCCCACTTTACAACAGCTGAAAACAAAGATGGTGGATCTGATACCAAGGTAAAGGAGTTATGGTAACATCTTCTATGACGCCCAAGTATATAATGCATTATAAACATATTGATATGCATTATAATTATGTCATTATAAGTTACTCTGAGTGGTCTTTGCTTTAAGTAACAGGAAACATATCTATGCAAGAACACACATAATGTACAATACATTTGTTAACTTAAAGCAAACACTGTCTGCTATGAGTAACGTATAATCACATTGCAATGCATTATAATCACTGTTATAATACATTATAAAAAGATTATAATGTATTACAACTATGGAAGTTATAATACACACTATGATCTTTGCAAAAATAAGGTCAGTGAGTGACCAGCAATTATCTGATACTTAGTCATAACAAAACGCTTTATGATGTGTTGTGATAATTGTTATAAAGCATTATGCATATTTCTGAGTTCTTATAACTATAATCAAACAGTGTTATAAGCAGACTATAACGCATGATAAGTATGTATTACATGAACTAATGCTGACGAATTATATTCCACAAAATACAATGAACTTTGTTTAGAAAAAGTGTTTTATGTTAGTTGTCATGAAAACCATGCATGATTCTGACTAAACAGTACTACATCAAAGTCGTTTAGCTTAATTTAAGTCTGTATAGATTATTCCTTATTGCTAGATATTTGACATGGTACTGGTCTTCAAAATTAACAACTGATCAAGACCACACCAGAGACCTAACAGCCATGACATAAAGCAACCAGTTCCCCGATGTGTCACTCTGATTTAGCCTAATTTCATTTGCTATAATGAGCTCAATCAAACACACCTTCTCCAAATTCTGCCAGAGCAACAAGTTCTTAATTTCTGCCAAGTGCAGAACCACCAGGTCTATATAATCAAGACTAGAGCTTTGACCAAACAATCCAAACTCAACTCCACCCGCTTTTTGCAGAGGTTTCAACCGTATGATGTGGTCTTCATCAGTGGATGGAGTTTTTGTCAGTTTTCACAGAGATGCATCTGTTCATATGGACCTGTATGTCAACAGATCCGTCTCTGTGACAACTGAGCAAACTCCAGCCCCTCATAAAGACCATGTGATGTGGTTGAAATGACGAGAAAATGCCAGTAAGTAGACCTTTTGAGTGGGGTTGTGTCTTGTCAATCTGCTATTTCCAGTTCAATAATGAATCACCATGCTCTCGACGAGTGCGATGTCTGAAATCATGCCCCCATTCACTCTTTCTGAAATCATGCCCCCATTCACTCTTTCACTATTCTTTACAGTGTGGCATCTGGACTCTCTTTCTGTTATAAAGTCTCATTGACGTCCAACATGTGAAAGGTCTCCACAGAGTCCACTGCACTGTACTCCAGTTGTATCACTGATGGTGGCCATGGGGCTCAGGTCAAAGGGAGGGTAGGGGTCTGGGAAGTGTATTGTGCATGTGAGTTTTGGAACGGCGTAATGTCGGGGGCTGTTGTTGTTTTTAGGTCAGGGGAGCTGACTGTCTAGTATTTGGTGGTGGGAGTTGTTTTGTTGGTTGGCTGGCACAGACAAATAGGGTTAGGCAGAGATTTTGGAAGGCAGCAGGGCAGACCTCCCGCTGGGCCCGCCCCGGCACTCCTCTCAGTCTCTAACTATCTCCATGCAGTAATGAGGGGATCCCCATTGTCTGGGCCATTCTTGTCCTTTTTGCTTTTGATTCGGGACTCTGACAAATACTTTGGTGTTAGGCTATCAACACCACCGCCCTCCTCTCCACTTGCACCTTATTTCTTGCTCTGTCTCTCACACACACACACACACACACACACACACACACACACACACACACACCGACTGGAGGGCTTATGCAATTAATGTGGTTTGAATCAGGTCATACCACTGTCCTTTCGGTGTCTGTTCTCTCTTTGGAAGTGCCACCATTGTCCTCACTAACTGACCAAGTCTGTGGGGAGAGTACAATTGACTTAATATTGACCCAAAGTGGCGTGGTTTTTGCGGATGGTCGGCTAACAATGGGCCATTGTTTAGAGGGAGCCACTCTCTACAAGTCAGAGAGTCCTCCTGTACACTGGAGGTCTCCAGCAGGACAGTTGTACCACTTAGACCTAACGCAGACTCCTACGATCACTCCTTTAACCTTCTTAGTGAGAGACGTGGCGTCTCCGGCTGTAGGTAAACATGTTCAAACGCGGTTTTCCTGAAGTAATTTCAAAGCCAAAGTGACCATGTCCTGCATGTGAACTTTCCACTCAGTCTATATCCTCCTCCAGGAGGTGAGACAAGGCCACAGAGCTCAGCTAGACAGAGTGGCTGTGGGACAGCCTTGTCCTTCTCCACTCTTCCGTGGCAGAATGGCTTCCAGCCACCACTGACAATTACCCCGCCATGCCAGAGGGCAGCTTGGGAAGTCAGGGAGAAGTCACACACTGTTATGCCAGAGCAGACAGGAAAGGCTTGTTGCTCTTCCAGTATTTCACTCCAGCACAGAACAGGCGACATGGAGGGATGGAGGGGGTTGAGGGGAGGAGCGGGGAGAGGGCAGAGAGAGAGCGAGAGAGAGAGAGAGGATGGGTAACAAGTTTGTTTTTTTCATTTGGTTTTCAATTGGCCATTGTCTGCATTTACCAGAGTCAAGTGCTCCTTGTGCGGTGGACCCTGGGTACCGTCTCCATAAAATAGTTGCTAAATTGAATTTTAAGAGGACAAACCTTTCTATTTAGTGCTTAGTTAATTCCAAAGCTATTTGGCGTTGCCCGGTTACAGAGATGGGCAATCCTCAACCCCACTGTTGTTAGACCCTGTATTAAGCATCCATCATTTGTCCTCCTATATACAAATATGCTCCGAGTTATCATTACATGTCGGGATTAAACTGATGACATGGCTTACAGATATTTGGCTTTACTTGATTCTCTCAGCTTGGTCACACAGAAGACGTTTTTTTTTTTTTTTTTAATGCAAGGACCTTTTGATGATAGGAGGCAGGCAGCACAATGACTTCCAGCAGCACCTCAATGCAACAGTACCGTATCACAATTAGCAGCGCTAAACAGGCTGCACAGACAAGTCCACTCCATCTCGTACGGAGCCTCATCCAGTCCTCTCCGTTTTGTCTGACAAATCCCCCATTGTTCCTCTGATGATGCTTTTCTTTCGTGGGAACCCTGGCTTGTCTTGTTGATTAGATCCCCTTTGTCTTCCCCCCTGCAGTGGGCTAGTCTGGAGAATGTGAAACCTCACACTGTAGTGGTGGCTTAATGCCTCAGCATACTTTGTTTATTAAATGATGGATCAGTCTTTTATGTTAATGAATATAACGAAGTTTATGTAGGTCACCAGCTATAGTGTTTTGTGCTTTTTTTAAATCAGGAATTCATTTTGAATAACCATCGTGATTTATGGTTAACTGCTGTGCGTTATTGTTTATGATGACAAGCAGCTGTTAAAAGATTTGATGTAGAGCAAACATACTTGAGTCACATCCTCATTTTTCCTCTTTCTCCCCAAAAGAAGGAACCCTCTCCACCACCCAAAGGCGTCTACATCTATGGAGATGTTGGTAGGATCACAGAAGAAATAAATATTACCATAGTGTTTTTTTCTATGGTGCTAAATTCTACAAGAAGTTAGAATAATTGCTTTTTCTTTAATCCCTCTCAGGCACAGGGAAGACCATGCTCATGGATATGTTTTATTCCCATGTGGAGAACACTCGTAAAAAGAGAGTCCACTTCAATGGCTTCATGTTGGACATCCACAAAAGTAAGTATTATCCTCCCACTCCACAGCGCTAACTGCTCAAGATTTGCTGGCTTGACTTTATGGAAGTTAATGACTCCTCGAGCGCTGGAGATCCTATATTTATATCCCTGTGTTTGTCCCGAAGCCCTCCTGCTAATTGTCTACCATTATGCATACAAGTGAAATTACCGCTTTATTCAGTATTGTCATTGGGGGTTTTGGGGTTGCCGATGCAGGTGTGCTTTAAGATGTGCCTGGCGTTTGTGTACTGCTTAAAGGGATCCATCGGAGGAAACAAAGGCTGCCAAAACGCGGGCTAGGGAAAATGTTCACCTACGACCCCATATCACCGGTTGCCATGGAGATCAGCGAAGAAACTTGCCTGTTGTGTTTTGATGAGTTTCAGGTGAGCAAGTTTGTTACTGTGTGTGTGTGTGTTCCTAAAACCTGCTTGAACATTATTTGCAAGTAGCAAACCATATAACTGCATGCATTTGATTAAACAGTACTCTGACACTAGTACTGTGAAATGAGTGATACTGGTAAATATACTGCTAGTACAACTCTATATACAAATGTCATGCTGATGCTTAGGAAGGTTATAGTAACAAAGAAAATACCAATTGGCTGGGACGATTAAATAAATATAGTCTTTGAAATGTGCCAAAGATTTAAGGTAAATACATCTTTTGGAGCATATTGTGTGTGTGGGATAGATAATATCATTTTAAAGGATTCAAATATTAGAAAAAAAATCCCAAATGACCATGATGCTGCACAACGGTCAAATTTAAAACTTAATGTGTCAAATAATGTTCCAGATAAACAGAGTCAATCTGACCTACAGTCATGCTGAAGTCATTATTTGTACGTTATACTGAGGGGAAAGGCGAGCCGACAGCAGATATGCTACAGATTAAAACACAAAGACAGAACCAGTAGGAAGCCACAGGAATTGAGACTGGCATGTATAACTCACAGATCAGATCATTTTGAAATCTGAAAATAAAGACACAGAGTGATGTTTAATCACTTTGTTTCTTTTGTGCGTCGTAGTAGCTGCTTTATGGTTTACCCTTCTTTCTTGCTATATCAGAAACAGAAAAAAAAACTGTTAAATGTTGTATTCTGAGTTAAGAAGTGAGTGTTCAATCTGTGATCACTATCCGTGTTCATTTAAAGCCAGCGTCTTTCCTTTTCTGAACAACTGGATGCTTCAGATCTTGATACCCCCACAAAAACAGAACTGGGGACACCTAGTGGCCTTTTTGAATATAACATAATTGTAAATGACTTCCAGTAGCGATGAAACCTTCTCTCTCCTTAGTATGTAGTAAAATAGTGATTCACTAATACAGTAGCGGTAAATACATAAAGAATGTCACATGTATTGATGTGTAACATTTCCTTGTCACTACGTTGAAACTGCAGCAGTCAGTTGAGTCAATGATCTGCTCCTGTTGTTTGTTTATGCTCTCACACACCATGAAAACCAAGTCACCCATAGTTTTTGAAAACTGGATTTACAGAACTGAAAGGCACTGTGAGCCATTAGTGTTGCAGAACTTTAACATCATTTTGCTCTCTGGTGTCAAAGGAGAGAGCCACGACTGAAGCTCCCTGTCTTCTCTGTAAGGTAGTTAGCCATTCACTGAGTAGAGATGTGTGCTTCTGTCTTCATCGTTAGCCAGCCAAACACATCTGTTAGCAGCACAATGTCGTTCCTCTTACTGATATCATTACAGTTAATGCCATCAGGTCAAGGGTCACAGAAGGTGCGCTTGCTCTCTCTAATCACTCTCTATGCATCTGTGAGGATCAAGAGCTGCTCCTTTCATCCACCCGTCTTTCACATTTTAAACTGCGGCGCTGTTTGTGCATTCTCATTGATTTGTTTTGTTTGCTGTCGCCAGCTCTGCTGTTTTCGCGTGTGTCGACTGTTGCTACCGGTGAATGGGAGGGGAAACAAGCAGACATGTGCACGTTGTTTGTGATGCATAAACAAGAGGTTGGGAGAGTTGGGGTGGGTGGGGGGCGGAGGGGGGGTGGGAGCCTATACCAATCAGCATCCTCCTCCACTCAGCCATGCAAATGAGGCTCTGGGTATCAGTCGCACTCTCCCGCTTCCTTAAGTAAGTGGAGCTAGAAAGCGACTGGCGGCGGCGGGTCAGATGGATCTTATCCTCTTAAATGCTAATGACATTTCTCCATTCTCTTCATTAGCGCCGTGCCATTATCAGTAATTTGTAGCCCCCCTCCCTCCTTTTACAGCCCCCACCCGGCTCCCCTAATGAATACTCGCCATTGAGAGGTCCGAGATGGAAAGATGGGAAGAGAGCGCGGAAGTAAGGCGAAGAGTGAGAAGAAAACGCTTGAGCGTCATTGTCTCAGGGCCTCAGTCACTGTGCAGCCTCAGTGAAATTGCTCATAGGTTGTGTACATAAAGAGGTGTAACATCAAAAGAAGTTTAATTTGGCACCCGTGTGCCTCGCTGTAAACTGACAGCCGCTTGAGTAATTGGATGCTCATTTAAATATCGGCATTGGCTGACGGCGATTGCGCCATTATTTTTGTGTTCTACAAGTGCTACATCAGTCCCCTCCACCTTTTCTCATTCTGTGGGTACCCATTCTCTTTCCCTCTCCCCCGACTCATTCAGCAATCAATATTGCCCCTCATACTATGCCCATGTTGAGGGCACATGAATAAACAAATCCAGGTTGTATAAAAGGTCATTTTTAAATGATTCTTTTGAAATGAAAATAAAATCCTGCGGTCGGAGGAAATGGGGGCCCCTTCAGAGAAGCACAGAGCCTTGGCTTTCTGTTGATTCTCATTACCCGCACACACAATCACTCACACACACACTAATTTGATGCCCCTAGCCACCTCTCCTTAGCGAAATCAAGGCTTTAACACAAATGTTAATCAAGTATTGGCAAGGGCAGTGGGGCTAATATGCAAAAGCAGAAGACTCTCCAGAGGATGAAAAGAGGCATATGCCATGGGTATGGCCATCAGAAGTGCCTGTTATGTACAGGAAAGTAGGTAAGAGGGAGTGAAAGGAGAGGGCGGGACAGAAGTCTTCCTTTTTATTCAAGACTTCCTAGTCCATGTCCTTTCTTTAAGATAATAGCTAAGTAATGTCAAATGTATCTCAATTTACATCAAATATGGATGGTATTCTGTGAAATGTTTCTCCTCAAAATGTACTTTCTGAAGGAAGGTTAGTTTAATTGTGTGTCATATTGGAATAAAACTTTATTTATTTATGTATTTAATATATATGCCAATTAGCATGAGACTAACTATACCCATCTCGTATCATACATCATGTTTAATCGGGCGTGTTATACAATGTACATGCTGCTTTGACTACTGTGCAAAAAGAACAGAGGTGAAAGAGAGAGAGAGAGATGAGAGAGAACAAACAAAAGTGAGAGCACTGGATCACTACTAGAAAGGTCAGAGCTCTTCATGTAGCGGCCAGCGACTCATGAACGTCCTTGCTTCAGTGTCGTCATCCACTGTTTATTGTGGACTCGTGAAAATGATGTAGATGAAAAAGGCAGTGGACAGTTGAATTGGATTTATGTATAACAGCCTTGTGTAGTTCATACAACACACACCTTTTATACGGTCATTTGGATAAAAGCTTTGTCCGCCATCGTGACCCCAGTCTGGATTCACATTGCTCCATTTTCATCACTTTCGTTCTTCGTTTTCTTGCTTGCGTTCAGTCGTTCTCACGTCCGCTCGGTTGATTAGCTGCCTTGTCTCAGCTGCTTGTCCTCAGCAGAAAGCCGCTTCATGACCATTTGCAGTCACTTCAAGTGGTTTAGGTGTGTGTGTGTGTGTGTGTGTGTGTGTGTGTGTGTGTGTGTGTGTGTGTGTAGGCGTGCGTGGATGCGTGTCAGTGTGAATGGACATGACCAGACACAAAGGATTGAATGAGCACACCTGAATGACCCTAATCAACATGGAGTGTTGATGGCATGGTTTAACCTTAGAGGCACACACACACACACACACACATGCACACATGTGCTGTGGCTAGAAAAGGTACATTATACAGTTCATGAATGTCTCTCTTCTTCTCTGGTTTTATTCTGTCAGGTGACCGACATTGCTGATGCCATGATCCTGAAGCAGCTCTTTGAGATGCTGTTCAAGATCGGAGTGGTGGTGGTGGCCACTTCCAACAGACCCCCTGATGGTACGACGACTCGTGTCTTAAGCACATTCATTGTACCTTTTTACGTGTGTTTTTAGCTACTGTTTATTAATGATATTCTTGTTACCAAACACACAGTTCAGTTAACAGGTAGGATGGTTTAGTGCACGATTGCAGTCATCAGAGTAACACTGTCGTAGCACTCTTTTCTTTTCAAGTAGTAAAAGTAAAGGAGCATCTTTGTAACAGAAACTACCAGAGCAGTAATAGTAGCGACAACAAATATTAAATTCTACTCATATTGCAGGAACAAAATATACATTTACATAATGGTGCAGAATTTTAAGTAATTCAATCACGACATGTATCTGAAAATGTTTTTTCTTGCTGTGGAAACAGTAGTTTTGAACCAAATCATCCAGATTTGTGAAAAATAACGTTCAAATATGGACTTGCATTTAATCGAGCGCCTTTCTAGTCTCCCGACTACTCAAAGCATTTTACGCTACATGCCAACGTTCACAAGGTGCCAGCCGTCATCAGGATGTAAACTAATGCTCATTCACACACACACTCACACACCGATGGCCAGAGCCTTCGGAAGCATTTTGGGGTTCAGTATATTGCCCGAGGACACTTTGACATGCGGACTGGAAGAACCGGGGATCAAACAGACGATCTTCAGATGAGTGGACAACCCGCTCTGACTCTGATCCATAGCCTCCAAAAAGATTGCTTTCTAACACCAACTTTACTCTGTTGATATCTTGCTGACTACGGACACAATTAAGCCCCAAGTAACCATTGTATTGCAAAAATATGCATTTTAACCCATTTGATAAGAATCATTAATAAGAAAAAGAAAAATGTTATTGGAACAGCTGGTTATTTCCCCTTTTGCATGCATATATCTAACATACCCATAAACAATTGCATAAAAAGATCAAGTGCAGTGTCTTACACCCTTACAGGATTATCTATGCCGGAAAATGAAACCAACAAAATTGTAGCTGCAGCACATTTTTCTGGTGTTAAGTTAAAAAGTTAAAATGATTGATGAGTTGTTGAAAACACACACTCATTTTAGCTTCAAACAATCAATACATCACTTAATCTCATCTCCAAAGTACTATGATATTTCTCCCAAATATTTTTTAACATATCTTCATCCAAGTGGTATCTGAAGTTGTTCCCAGTTTCTTGAGTTACAGTACATCAGTTCATTATGTGACTTATAAATCATAATAACTTTGAGCATGGTATGTGGGAGAAGCGTTTGGCAACAAGCAACTGCTTACTGTCGAGACTTGTCGGCTTTTACCACTTCAACAATGAAAGCAACTCTATCTTCTATAGAAAGCTCAGCTCAGGCTGACAGTGAAACATTGTCAATCTAGAAGGGCACTCTGAGAGCGCAGACCCCCGCCAAGGCCAATCTGCTTTAAAATGCAATAGGTGTTTCATTGGCCCATGTTACACCCTTCCACCAATATTCATTAAATTAAGGCCATTAGGTTTTCCGTAATCCTGCTAATAAACAAACAAACCAAAAAACATAACCTCCTCGGAGGTAACAATGCCTTAGCCCTGAAGCTCCTCTTAATGACACAATACACCGTCTACCTGCAGCTGAAATAGTAAGTACTATTCCTGGAACATCACTGTTTGCCTCACCTGCTCTTGAACCAGCACATTATTCACCTACTTTACATACAGTACATCTACATTATTCACTTAATGTTCACTTAATACTTTTATCCAAATGTGCTTGGCTCCAGCAAGGATCAATTGTGCTTTACAAGACCCACCTACACCTACGTCCTGTTAACAGCAAACAAGCAGAGGAAGAGGTCTCACTTATATAGACATGACAACAACCTTTATTAAACAAGCTTTGATGTTGCATTTACTGCCAGTGGAGCAAGGTTTTAGGAAGAATGAGCAAGGCGGCGATCAAGGTGGAGATAAATGCGCGATGTGCTATCTGACGTCTTTCTTTCTCGGGGAAGACGTTGATGTCTCAAAGTCTTGAGTGGGTAGGAAGTGGATGGCAGCAAGATGGCTCTTGTAGACAAAGACGCTGTCTCTGATATTTACTAGCTATTAAGAACAAAGCGCCAAACCATGCAAACTTGATAGAGAGGCTACTTGGTATTAATTACATGGTTAATGGAACACTGAAAGCCATAAGAGACAACTGGACATGAAAGGCATACATTTTCCATCTTTATTGATGTGGAGATCCCGGTATCAAACAGCCCTAGATGTGTTTGGAGGGGATATTTACCAAAAAAGGATTTTGTTAGAACGGCTAAAGCAGTGTTTTATTGTTTTTATACACTGAAGGAGTTTGATGAGATTGAGGAGGGTAAGATGGATAAATGGTGTGTTTCTTTGGAGTGGAACCCCCTCAGTGCAGTGGATCACATGTAGTTTACATTAAAGGACTTGAGTCCATTAAATTATTTAGTAATTTAACAAGTAATAAGTGTCCTTGTCAGCAGCATTGGTTACATAGATCTATAGCAATCAACAATACAATATTATAAATAGTCCTTTTAAAATGAAAAATAATTGGCACATGGTATGATTTTGCAGATTAACACACAATATATAACATGCTAATTAGTGAATTTAGAGGTAACTTATACCTATTTCCACCTTTTGTCAGTGTTTATGCTAAGCTAAGCTAACTGTCCTCTGTCTCTAACTTCCTATTTACTGTACAGACATGAAAGTGGTCTCCTAAAAAAAACTCTCGCCAACAATGCAAATAAGGTTTTGTCCCAAAGTATTTAACTATTCCTTGACAATAGTCTCACGGACGGCACAGTCCATCACAGTATAGGAGTTATTTAGTGCGTCGGGTCCAAGGCTACTGTAATAAGCTTAAGCCCAAACATCAACATCAACTGCTTGTTTACGTTCGCAGCTGGAGAAAGATTAAGCCCGGCCATGTGTCTGTGTGTGTGTCTTTGTCCGTGTTTGTGTGTGAATCCCTATCTGTTTTATCTGTCTATCAGGGATGCTACTTCAGATGTAATTTGTTCCAGCCGAGCTAATTGAAACATCTATTCAGAGAGCTGCTGTGGACATTGTCCGCGCTGAAAAGGCGACAGTCCTTTCTCTCGCCACCATTGTTTGGGAATGTAATGAATTTTATGTTGCTGCCGCTGCCGGTAGAGAAATCCATTTTTCTCTCCTGGTCCCAGTCCTTTTGTCGTGCCTCCCCACCCATCCTTCAGTTCATCAAAAGCCACTTTATCTGCCAATCTGCGGCGAGGGAATGACATTATTAGGAGGCTAAACAGCAGCTCTAATACAAGCCCTCCCTCCTCTTTCAGATCTGTACAAAAACGGACTTCAGAGGGACACCTTCCTACCTTTCATCGACGTGCTAAAGGTAGAGACAAAGTCATCCCTCTCTCTTGTCTTGTTAATTAATTCATTTGTTTATCACAAACACACATACACACACTTGCGCGTGTGCCTCATCCCTCTGTGTCCGTCTTGTTTTGCAAGTTGCTCTTTAGTGGTTTGATGTTTTCTGCTTCCTGGATGCCTTGCACAGTGTCACAAAGCTGTCTTTGATCATACCAGGGCACGGTGAAAGACTCAGAGAGAAAGGTAGGGGGAGATGGAAAGAGCGTGAGGGAGCACAGGTAATGTGAATGAGAGACGGGCGGATGAGCTGAGTGACTGACCCAGACTGCTTGCATTTCAAAAGTAAGGGGGGGGGGGGGGGGGGGGTGAGAGGAGAGGAGCGATGCGGTGGTTAGCATTTCCAGCGAAAAATCTACTTTGCAATTTAAGCAGGTAGCACCATTATCCTGCCTGCATCTCAGATGATCATTGATGTGTTTGGAGTGATCATAAATAATTGCATAATAATTTCTTGTCATGCATTTTGCAACAGAGGAGGGCAGCATTCTTGCACCTTTTACTGGTATTTAGTCTAAATTAAATAGCAATGGCAAGCAATATCCAACTGTAGTGTATCGGGCTACAAATGTCCTGTATATTCTTATACTATTCATAAGAAAAAACACAAGGTAATGTATAATGTATGTACAGACTACACTTTTACATAGAGACATGTAAGTTCTCAGCAAAGGTCTGGCTGAATTACACTCACGGAAGATGTAATGTAGCAGAAAAACACTCTTGTGACTGAAGTTCTGAAAATCGCCACTCAAAGTGCTACTTGAGATTCATGGCTTAATGAGGCAAACGGTTTTCAAACTCTCATTACTTTTTATAGATAATAGACAAATTTAAACATATTTATCAAACACTGGTATTAAAATTGTATAAACACAATAGTTATAGCCCTACCAACATATTTTGTTGTATTGGTCTTGGGTTACAATATTCCAAAAACAAAATATCACTGCTATATTGGTAAAAAATATACAGTACAAAATTAACAAAAAAGTTATTCGCATTATTTAGAAAGCAACATTTTTACATAAATCAACCAACAACGCAAAAATAAGTTTAGCACAGCATCACATCTGAGCCGATTTAGGAACATCTGGTAAGAGTAATACTTTATCTGGTTTTAATCCTCCCAAATAACACTGTTAGTCGGGCTTCAGATGTCCATTACTGGTCAGGCTAGATATTATAATAAGTATGTTGTTGCAAGATTAGAATGTACCTGTTACCAGTTACATCACAAACCTCACTGTGAGTGCTGCTGTGTACAAAATAAGAAAATAATGGCAGTAAAGCGCAACACAGGTGCTTTAACAAAATCTATATGGTTGAGGTCTTGGAGTCACCCTGCTCCCCACCCACTTTTCCGGCAGCACCCTTGCCCTCTCTAATCCACCCTTATCAAGGTCCTGAATGCCTGTTGTCCGTCTCTGGCCCGTACTACCTCCTCTCTTTCAGGGTTCCATGTTCCCCTTTGTGAGGCCATCTGGTTTTCGGGGTCGGGGGTTTTTCCGGGGTTGCACGGCGCTCTCTATAGCGGACCGTTCTGTGAAGTTAAAGCGTGTTTTAGCGAGGTCACGCTGCTAACTAGCTGACCCTTGATAAATTGAATTAATGCTCGCAGTGCCCGGTGGTGCGGGTCCTCCTCCCTGATGCAGCTCGCTCTCGTATGTGCGTGCCTGAGTGTGTTTCTATAGCGGGAGAGGGAGTGAATGAGGGTGTTAAAAAGTAAAAAAATAGTCTCTGACCTCTCCTCCCTATCACCTGAGCTGGAGTGGAAGAGGTTAATCCATCGCTTCTGTCCGCCTGCGTCTTTATTTAACTATTGACTTCTGATTAGTTGGGACCCCCTTTTCCCCTCAAACACCCCCCAAGTTATCCAGCCTCCTTGTCTTAGAAATAAGAAATGTTCAAATCATTATATCAAGTACAAACTTTCTAGTAGGCCCACTTGCCAGACACGGAAAGCATATACCTTCCCTGAACCTAAAAGTCTTTGACTGCTTTTAGATTTTTAGTATGTTTTCTAGTTTTTCCATCCACTCAGTCATTTGTAATTTCTTGTCCTTTTAGTGCCTCTGTAGACTACATCAGGAACCCTATTCAGTTGTTAAGGCTCCTTTTTCTTTGCAGCCATGTCAAAGCTCAGAGTTCTGAAAAATACAGGGTTTAAGGGCTTTTTTTTTAATGGATACTGCCAGTATTGTAACTAAGACACTCTTTCTCTCTCACGAACTGTCCTCCCTCTCCACTCCACTGCTCATCGCCCATCCTCCCTCTAGCCCTCCATCCCCGCTCTTTATTCTATTACTATCTCGCTCTGCTCGCTGGCTTTACTTACCCAAGGTCAGGTCTCTGTATTTTGGTAGCAGAATAGTGACTTTACAATGCTGCCGAGGGGAGGAAAAACATGACAACAACCCTGAGGCAACTTTGAGTATCTCTGTGTTTCCGGCTGTTTTTAACCCTTCTTTTGATCCCCTCTCCTTCTCTCTTTTTGTGTCATTGTTAATAATTGCTGCTGTGTGCTGTGCAGTTGCTGATGAGAGAAAAATAAATATATAAATAAAAACGGGACGATAGAGAAAGAAAAATGAAGAATGAGAGGGCTGTGGTCCTCCAATGAAGACCTTGGTGAGAAGGACTTCCTGTGAAGAGCCGGCAGCCTGCCAGTTCAAATCAAATGGATGTTGATATTTGACGACTCTCATTGTCTTCCAGAGCATTTAATGGCAGGGCAGTGCCACTCACTGTATGCCTCGAGGGCGTACCTCACTTCTTTTCATATTAGTGTCTCACTTCTACAAAACTGAACAATTACGAACAAGAACAAATACATTTTTCTCCTTTTGAACACAAGGAATTAATTCCGGCTCTGTATTTCTCATCTAATTTTGAATAGATCCACTTACCTGCTGCCTAACTGATGTTTTCCACTGGTTTATTATAAGTGTGTGCACGTGAAATGTGTTCGATCAAGCATGCATGCACACAGGTGCATGATTCTGTCTAGTATGTGTTCGTTTGTAAAGCAGACCACCTGCAATCTGAAGGCAACACTTAATTGTCGCCATCACTTAACTTCATCAACATGTATATTTAAAACCATTTCTACAGCTCAGCCTCTGTTCGACTCTTGATCAACCCGCTCGCCTCCAGATGTTCTGCCTTCTTTTCAAATTTGTAACATCATGAAGATGAAAAGACGAACGTTTTTTTATATGTTACGAATGAAAAGAGATTCTCTTTTTATGACGATATGGTAACTTGTTTACTGGAGCACAAGCAGGTTCTTACACCTCAGTAATACATTGTTGGTGATATTAGTGCTCACAGAAGGCATGGGTCCTTTGCATTGTGGGTAATGTAGGCGGCAGGTTGTTTCGACAAGGAAGAAGACAGTGTGGAATAAAAGAGATAATATCTTTAGTTCTGCTGCATTCTTAAACAGTCCATCGTGTGTGTCTGACAATGTTATAGGAGGGAAAAACTGAATTGGTGAAGAACTCCTTTATAAGTCTGGTGAGTTGATGTTATACGAGATCAAGCTATTTCAGATCTAACGCGATCTCCGGATAGTGTGTTGCTCCCAACGCATGGAGCCTCTGTTGGCCAGGTGCGGGTAGCACAGACTCCACAGAGATTTGGAGCGGTTTGGTTTTGGGCCTCTAAAGAGCTGGAGAGGGGTTGAGGGTGGGGGGTCCAGTGGGGTCCTGGATCACGAAAGGTGGGGCCTACAACTCAAAAGATGTTTCCCCAAGAGGAGCAGCCGAGGCAGGGGGAGGTTGTGAGAACGACCCCTCGGAACAAACCATCGCTGGCCCAAGGCGGTCACACTTTAAGGGAATAGATCATTAGGTGTAATTAGGGTGTTCACATTGTCACGTACCCCCCCGACTGCCAAAGAATGAATAAAATCACCAGATACACCCCCACTCACACACTCTCTCTCTCACACACACACACACACACACACAGCAGCTCCCCAGTTACTGAAAACACTTTGATGTCAGAAGAGTCGTGCACAACTTGCCAGCATAAAGGCAGTGTTTTAAGCTTTCTCTCTTTTCTCCCCCGTCTCTCTCTCTCTCTCTCTCTCTCTCTCTCTCTCTCTCTCTCTCTTGACCCCTCCATTCCTCCCTCCCTCTTTTCTTCTGTCCCTCCACACAAGGCTGTAAGACACACATGGTTGAATGGACGACAACCTTTCCCCTCCTCCCCTCCCCCCCCCCCGGCTGCCCCCCTTCGTCTCTTTTTCAGCCTTCCCACCCCGCATTTCTTTGAGGCCTGGTCAATTCTCTGGGCCAAACAAAAAAAAGCATCAAATGTTTTCTGCTGCTGGGTAATGAGGGAGTGGACCTCATCAGGGCCCAATAGTCAGCTATCCTTGGCTTTTGTTGCAGCTCAATAGCACCGCGCTCTTTGAAAAACTCAAAAGCAACTTTTTGAGGAGTAAAGGATAGAGAAAGATACGGCGTAGAGGGAGCGGGCGCAGAGGGGAGGCAGCGACCGAAGAAAAAAAAAAAAGCCACTCTGTTTTTATGCTAAACGGCTGTCCAGAGAGAGCAGTGGACAGATTGAACAATGACATGATTGGAGCTACATGTGTTTGGGTGACTTTCTTCTAAAGAGACTCTGATTCTCATGTCTGTCATCTCTCTCTCTCTTCAGTCTCTCCCTCCCCTCTTGTGTCCGTGAGTTTGTGAATGCACCCGAGCAAGTAGTGGAACTCTTAATTTGCAGTGACGCTGCTTTCATGCTGCTTTTCTGTGGGTCGGCTACATATAGGACTAGTTTTCACACCACTAGTACAAAAAGCTAATATTATGGGATGACTCATGGTGAAAATGAAACTAGCAACTATTGATTTACTTCCTTATCAATTTAATCTGTCAACCTTTTTTATTTTATTGAGAGTTAAGTTTGACAATGTCAGAAAATAATGATAAAATGCTCCTCACAAACGTGACAACGTGACTACAGATTGCTTGTTTTGTCCAACCAACACTTCAAAACTCCACATATATTCCATTTACTATCAAAATATTTTCGATACTTTTGAGAAGCAGAAACAAGTAAATTAGCCAGTTTCCACTGCAGTTTTCACACGGGACCAGGAACATTGAATTCGTTTTGCCATTTTTACTTGATAAATGACAGTCAATTATAAAATTGCTGTCAATTAATGTTGTGTTGATCAACTCGCCAATTAATCCTCTAACCCTTTAAAAATAAGACACAATGTGACTTCAATTGGACTGCAGTTCAACTTTGCTGTTATTTCTTTTGAGCCAATGCTGAGACGGAAAAGTCTTTGTGCAACAACAAAAGTCCTCACAAAGGAAGGTCAGAGATGCTGTCACATATTGAAGGAATTGGAATTGGTAATTTGACCATTGTAATATAAAAACAGATCCCTTATGCCAAGTACTTTTGCCTCACTAATATCCCAGTATTTTGGCATTAATAGTATCCATGATATTTTGTTAATTAAGTATATATGTAATTTAGTGTAAGTGAACATACTGAGCGATGTTTAGATTTTACGTAGGTCAACTAAACAGAGTGAGAGAGAAATAATAGTGACTTTAACATATATATATATATGTGTGTGTGTATATAATATATGTATATCTATATCTTATATATCAGATTGTTGTCCAGCTGTACAGCACGATATACAGAATAAGCTAAGTGGGAGATGAGACTGTAAGTGGCCAAGTGACAAGGATTTGAGTCTGTGAGAGGAGCGTGATGGTGGAGGGGGGAGACCACAATGTGTAGGCGGATGAAATCTTGGAGGAGTGAGAACTTGACAAGCCCCTCAAGATGGATAATCAAGTAATGGCCCGCAAGGCCTCAGCCTTATCTGATTATAAATAACCAATGGAATCATCACCACTGATTGTGTTTCCATTCCTCCCTTCTTTCCTCTCTCTTATTTGTACCTCCGCTTCTCCGTCAAGCAAAATGCATCCGCCGCCTTTACCGCAGGTACAGACGGTCCATAAAGGGAGGGAGTGGACGATGGCAGGAGAAAAGACAAACTGAGACTCTAATGATGTGGCGGCGATAGTGACAAGTTTTTTTTCTTTTTTTTTTTCCATTTTGGAGGGACTATTTACCCGTTGGTGGGGTCACAGTAGGTTGATGAAATGACACCTCCCTTTTGTGCATGGGGGAGGGCGAGTTTGTCAGGTTGTTATTAAGCCTGATTCAGCCAATTGGCTCAGAGTGGGAACCCCGTTTGTGTGAGCGGACATGGAGATAAAAAGTTGACAGCGGAGAAGAATAGAGTATTTCCGTCCCCTTGCTTTGTGATGATTACTAATTATCCTGCCGCTTAAGGGGGCCAGTGGTAGAAATTCACTGATTTCATAATTTCCCTGAGCTGTCGGTGAATACTCAGTCAGCCGGCAATGGCTTGGATGGGATGATATGCAATTCCTTTCTTTTCTTTGATAGAATGGTGGAGATGATGATTATAGTTTGTGGTGCACTCCCTGACATGAATCCTGTTGACGTTTTACACTATCTGGAAAAGTTTGAACTCTGCATCACAAGTTCATCCCTGCTGTAACACACTTGAATAGCTGCAGGAACAATAGATCGGCTCAATAAACCATGAAGAAGTGTCACAAAACCCCGGCGCTGTCAGAGCAGAGAAAGATGTCTCCTGCCTTCTGCGTTGCCCTTGTTTAAATTGTTCACTTGTTTCATATTTGCTCTTTGTCCGTGACAGATGAGCAGTACAGAACTGTGTTATAATGTTGGCACATACTATAGCATCGCATGGTAAGAATTACAAAATAGACACCTCCGCAGAAACTCTGTTATCTCAGAGATTTCAATGAGATGATCAATCTGGACTGAAAAAATAGCATCTAACCTGCTGAGGTTTGTTCCATTTATATGGTGCACAATTTTAGTATTTCCTTTCTGTATTTCCAATACTTCTCACACATTATATTTAGTTAGATTACAAAGTTTTTAAATATATATTACTACAAGAAATAAAACCCCAAAAAATCAAAACAAGAAACCCTCATCCAAAATCTGAAAAACCTATAAAACTGAATTTGAAATCACTACATTTTAAGGAAATTTGAATCTAAATTTGATGCCATAGTGAAATAACACAAACTACTTAAAAGGACAAGTTGGTGGTATTGCTTATTTCCTAATATTTACTGACCATATGAAAAGACCAACTTGATCCTACCTACAAGTAGTCTCTGTAACAAAAGCCTGATATTTTATATCCCTCTGTGCCATAGAGCTCCACTGTTGAACAAAAACAATTAAAAACACGTCAATACACACACACACACTGCTCAAGATTTCCATCTTCAGTGGGAACCAATGGGTTTACAGCGGAGTACCACAGGCGAGGTAGGGAAGTCGCAAAGTATTGAGAAAAACAAAACGCATTGTTGGTTTTGGCAAAGAATACGCTGTAGCTCCGACAGAATAAACAAAGAGTGTTTATCATTTAAAGAAACTATAATCTACTCTTAAAAGAAAACAAATCGAAAATCTAACTATAGTGTGCAAGTGTATCCTAAACTTTCTCATTTATATTTAGGTTATAATAGTATAATTATAAACATACTGTTATGTTTTGCCACTACATTAAAAATACAGAATTTTGAAAAGTTTTTCACTTTATTAAACATAGACTGGCCGACTTTGAATATTTGACCGTTGAGGGAGTTTTCATTCATTCTATTGTATGCTGTGTGTTTATGTTTGTGCGTGTGCAGGAGTACTGCCACACCATCTGCCTAGACTCTGGGATCGACTACAGGAGGCTGGACAACGCTGGAGCGGGGAAACTCTACTCCATGTAATACACACGCACACACACACACACCCACACACTAATAATGGTCACATTTGTTCTGCAGTCCAGCTCAGCTCTAAGGCTGTGCAAAGGTCTGGTAAAGAGTCAACATTAACCTGCATCACAACATGCACACAAGCATTCACACACACACACACACACAGGAAAATGTTTTTGCACATCATCGAGCTTGATTTTATTTTTTTAAAGGACAGAAAGAGAAGGCAAACAGATGGATAAACGAGGAGAAACAAACTGGGAGATTTATAAAGACCTTCATTACCATGAAAGATCCATGAAAAGAAGGAAAGAGGAATCAATAGAACATGAGAAAATGGTAGAGCTTTAAAAGCTAGTTTTCTATTTTCGTCATTACATATACGCTGCTAGGAACACGCAAACAAAAAAAAGGTATGAATGGCACTGCTGTTGCTCATCGCTGTATTGGAGCTTTCAAGTGCTTTCGTCTTTTCACTGTATGCAAATAGAACGCAACACACGCTTTTACATAGAGTTAAAACACAAGCACAAACACGCACACTTTACAATCTCATTTGGCGTGCATTCACAGGCTAATGCTCAGGTTTAGAGCCCAACATCCTATTTTTTACCGATGGAGTGAAAAGCTAAGTACCCACCCTCCGGTGCACTCCTTTCTGCCATCGTTTGATGTGGCCACTTCAACATTATTAATTTCATCTCCTATTTTGTCTTCTCTGTTGTCTTGTTCAGCACGGGGGAGCCTGGTGCGGAGGCCTTCTTGGATGTGCTGTTTGAGGAGCTGGCCTTAAAACAAAAGAGTGGTGAGGAAGTTAAAGGTCAACACCATCTTTAAATGATGTATTCTGTATGCCCCGTGTAAATAATGTAAACTGATGCTGCATGATAACACGTTTGGCATACACCTTATTGAGTGATAGTAGACATATAGCATAATCCAATGAATATAATGTTTTTTTCTTGTATTCTTTTATCTAAAAACTCTATTTTAAAAGCACTTGTGGACACAGTGTAGAGAAATCTGCTTTGTAAGTTAATAAGTTGAAATGAGGAGGATTTGACTTCTGTTGTCGAAAATGGATTAATTTCTGAGTGGACTTTTTTTTACTACCATTCACCTGTAAATGTGATGATAAAAGCTGTATGATATGAGGATCAGTTACATCTTCGGGTGTGTGTTTCCGTAGTTACAGGCCCTCGGGTGCTCACAGTTCTGGGCAGAGACGTGACTCTGGAGAAGACCTGTGGCTCCATCGCTGACTGTAGTTTTGACGAGCTGTGTGGCAGAGTGAGTGTTTGTTTTGTCTTATAATTCTGTAATTGTAAAAGAAAACTGATAATCACCATATTTAGCTACATATATCATTTTTCTCAACATGTTTACAACAAACATTAGAAAAAGGACAACATAAATGACTAGTTAATAGTATAGTTACGATGCAGGAGGGGAGCACAGATTTTACTCACACACACACACACACACACAGTTCATTCTCACACACAAGATCCACTCACCACTAATCAAAACTGCTCAAATTCAAAGCACTTCTCTTGCCTCTTTATTATTCTGTTTCTTCCCACCTCTGTGTACTTATTGTACAAACCAATGCTCTCAAACTGAATCACCTTCCCTCAATCTCAGTCCTATTTTCTGCTCAATGTCAAAAAGCAGTCTATTGACGATTTAGTGAATAGTTGAGCCTGTTGTGCCTCAAATAAAGCAGTGTGTGTAAAGTCTCAAGCCTGATGGACAGCGGTGAGCTTTTGCAGGCATCTAAGCTTCAAGGCTTCCTCTTCCATTTGACTATATACTGTATGTTGGCATGACCACTTTCATTTTGAGAGCAATCATCCTGAATGGCAAAGAACCAAGGACAGGGACTGAACATCAGCCTGAGCCTTTTGCACAAGGTGCCCCATCATACGGTTGACTTTTTTTTTGTTGCAGCCATACACACAGACTGCAACATTCATAGTGTGTGTGTGTGTGTGTATGTGTCTCTACAAGGGTGCCGTGCATGTGTGCTATACTGAAACTATTTACTCTCCGTTTTGTGATGTGCTCTGCTGTAGTTTAGAAGCTCGTGTAACATGCTCACTTGTTTTGCAGCCCATGGGTGCCAGTGACTACCTGGAAATGGCACGGCTCTTTGACACCGTATTCATTCGCCATGTTCCCATTCTGACACTGACCCTGAAGGACCAGGCCAGACGCTTCACCACCCTCATAGACAACTTCTACGACAGCAAGGTGCTCCATCTAATTGGAAAAACTAAAATTGGGCTTAAAGTAGACAAAAGCAATAAATCATATCACAAATGCATTCATGTGTGAAGGTTTGAAGGTTTGAAGCTCAAGAAAGTGGTGGAGCAGGAATTTTCGATTTCTATATTATCCTGTGTGCAATGCACACATCAATTGAGAGGATGATGATCAAGATGGTGCTTTGGATGGCAGCCTCGGTGTTGCGTTTTTTTGCAAATTCACCCAGCTCACTGTGCCAGCCTCCACCTGTCAGTGGATTACAAACTTCCTGAACGACCAGTGGCAGCAAGTGAGGCTCATGAAAATCACATCCAGCACCCAGACAAGCAGCAGTGGGCACCGCCCAAGGATGTGTGCGCTCCCCACTGCTGTTTTCCCTTTACACCAACGACTGCACCTGAGGAGGCCCGTCTGGTAAATTCCTGAAAGCTGACACAGCGGTCATCGACCTCATCTGGAACGGTGACAAGTCTGCATACAGATGGTAGGTTGAACAGCTGGCCCTGTGGTGCGATCAGAACAACATGGAGCTGAACACTCTTAAGACTGTGGAGATGACAGTGCCCCCCCCCACACACACACACACACACACATTGCCCCCCATCACCACTCTGAACAACACCATCCCTTTATTTCTAGTGCCGTCTGCTGTAACCCTCTAACATCGCAGCTCCAGTTACACTGTGCATGCTATACCCCATAGCTCAAGACCTGGTCCCAGCCTTCATTCAACAGCCTTGCCAGTATCAGGAAAATGGGCTGGTAACATCACTGCAGGCCCTTCACACCCTGGTGGCTGAGGGATCTAAGCGCCGACCATTAAACACAATGTGCCCAATGTGACGTTGCGTCGGGCTGGGGAGTTTTGTTCTATGTCATTGTCCAATCTCTCTCCATCCATCCATTATCCGTAACCGCTTATCCTGTTCAGGGTCGCTGGAGCCGATCCCAGGTGACAAGTTAGAAGCCAGCCTCATATTGGCTCACTTCCTATAAACTGTAGATATACTCTATATTTGATTCTGCAAGATAAAGTCAATATGTACATAAATGCAATACAACACATCAAATTGACCAGAAATATAAGTACTGTAATTTTAAGGAGGCAATGAATGAATGGGTTAACTGCTCTCATTTAATATTGATCACTTAATCTTTAATGATAGAGGAAGTAACCTTCATAAATAAAGTGGACATCCTGTGTCTCTTTTATTCCCCTTTGTGTCCCAGGTGAGAGTGGTGCTGCTGGCAGCTTCTCCTTTAGAACGGCTGTTTCTCCACACTGGAGGGGACGATGAGAGGGACAGACAACTGCTGGATGACCTGGGCCTCAGCGGGGTAAAACTATAACCAACACTTCCTGTCAGCAATGAATGCAAGCTGTTCCTAAAATCTAAATATATGTAAATCACATCACTGATTACTCTTTAAATGATAGATCAGTTCACCTCATAGTACTTCCAGAAGGATAAAAGTCAAACGAACTTGAAAAATTAGGTGTTAAGGGACGTTTTCATGACACATTGCGAGTGTGAAGAGGGCCTTGCTCTCACACAGATTGGTCCTGCATGTCCAGGAATCAAACAACCAACCTTCTGTGGACTTAATGCTGTTTCTCTAACCAAAATAAGTTTCAATTTCCGTTGGATTCGAGTTAATCAGCCGTTAACCCTGGTGTTGGCTCCTCTCTACAGGAGGCAGCCGAGCGCCTCACACTGTTCACAGCCGAGGAGGAGATCTTTGCCTTCCAGAGGACCGTCTCCAGACTGACGGAGATGCAAACCGAATCATACTGGATGAAAGGAGACCGCAGTCACAGCAAGAAAGCCATGAACACCTAACACCCGCTGCTGAGCGCCTGATAAACATGTATACCTCCAGACAACACAGTACCTCACTAACGACTGACACTACTCAAGAGAAGTTCAGAATTAGCAGAAAAAGGAAAGACTTGATATCCGCAGTAAATGTATAACAAAACTCGATACCTGTTTTTGATTTGGATCTGACTTCCCTTAATCTCATGCATGTGTGTTATACGGTTTTACTGTTTGGTCCTCTTCTAAGAGGTGTGCTCTCTCCCCCTTGTGGACTATTTACTTTAAAGAATATGGAAACCACCCCAACATGTGTGTACCACAAGGCAAACAGGTGCTCACTTCAGAGAGACAAAGTGTTCTTCAGAGTAGTTGGCTACCTCCCTCTAGTGGGCGAATGTGAGAAGGGTTAAACAATTCTCAAGCCGTTCCTGTTTTTAAGAACAATATTGGTCTCTGTGCGGTTTCTGTATAAAATCTGGTATGAATTTAAAATGCTATGCATGATATTAATCCATATATTCCACCCATGAAGCCCAGTAGCTGTTAGATTGACATTGATGTATTCCAGATTACAAATCTTGATTTTGGTCTTTACCAAGAGGGTTTGACTACAGTTTCTATTTCTAACATTGCAGCAAGCTGCAAACTGCTGTAAAACACTTTGTGAACACTTATAATAAAATTGTCAACACAAAATAATTGTGAGGTGGGTTTGCACCCTTTAATCCAGACTTTTCAATAAGTGTTGTAATGCAGGTGTGTAGATAAGATCAACAGTCCAATCTGATTTTAAAACGTCCACATTCACACGAAATGCACAAAAGACAAACACGAGAACATCACTTCAGTTACAAAAAGTAAATATATGTTTTAAGTGTGAAAGTTGACAGAATTGTCACATTTGGTTTTGGCACACTGTGAATCACACAATGAAATGTATTCCTTTGCATCTAAGGAGCCTCTTCTACTTGTGTTTCTATGTCATGGTACAAAAAAAGAAATATATCCTGGAGCCATGCAAACATATTTGATATTACAAAATTTGATACAGGTAAAGGCATGTTCATTTCTGTGTTTTTTATGATTTCAAATTCATATGAAAAAGACCACAACATTTAAGCAGTGATATAATTCAAAGGACAACGGACAAACTATAAACACCTTCCGAGTTTTTCATTTATAGTTACCATTAAAGGGCAGATATGTTGTGCGTGTTGTTTTGGAAGTTCTTCCTGAGTGCCTGTAGGTGGCAGCAGAGGGCAACCAATTGCTACAAGGTTTGTTATTGCGTCCATCTAAAGATGAGGTCATTCTAGTGCACCATTCCAGCCTGGACCAGCCCATGACAACTACAGTCAGAACAGCGAGCAGCACCTACAGCATCAAATCCAATAGCATTATAGAAGATACTGTGTTTGCACCAAGCAACTAAAGTGCAAACACACCAGAGTAAATATAAAATCTCATTATATTTAAGGGACAGTAATTGGCTCAGTATGCAGGTGTGTGTGGGTGTGTGCACGGATGCATGAGCATGATGTCTATCATTAAAAAACGCTTGAGTCGGTAACAAGGCCCCAAGTCTATTCCACCATAACTCTCAATTAAAGGAAAATCAATCACGCCCTATGCTGAGCCCCCTAATCCAATCAGAGCATTTTGCTGTTTGGGGGAAACATCAGACACAAACAGAGATGGCCACCGCGCTTTATGATTGTCTTGGTTGGATGATTCAAGCTGGCTTAGAGGGGTGGTCGCTGTCTCCATCCTCTCTGGACCACAGTTTTATGCTGATGGAGGGAAAATGGGAAATGGTTCACCTTTTGTCTATTTCTCATTGTTGTTAAAAGGTCTGTTAAACATGGATAAAATGACATTTTGAGAGAGCAAGTTGACAATACTATCTGTGTTACGTTGATCCAACCTGAAAGACCTTATAAAGTGTTGGGTTAAATGAGTCCCATGTACTGAAAAACAGTAATAATACAAATTGTCCAGGGTTGCATGTGTGTTTGCTTGCTGTACATGAATGTGTCCTTGTGCAACACTACATGGTGGCTCTCAAAGGGGCATTTAAGGTGGAGCTATCTTATCTTGGTGCAGAATAAAGTGGCCAAATGCCAGAGATACTGCAAGCAGGGTATCAAGGGTACACGTCTGACTTTGCTTTTCATGACGACACACGGCGGGAAAAATATTTACAACAGTCTACTATTTTAAATGTGCAGGTACAAATATAAAAATATCCCAACAGTCTGTAGGGTTCAGACAATGATGGTGTGCTCAATGGGATGCACTCAACAATCGAATGCTGGTGCTCTTGACGGAAAGGGGTTGAACCCAAAGTACTCCAGGCAGTCCCATGTACAGAGACAGGAGCAGTGTGATTTAAAGCCGTTAATAGTTACATGGCTTGGTCATGAGACGATTAAAAAAAACCAGATTCAAACTCTGCAGGTTTGCTTATTGTGTGTTAAAAAGGAAACAAAAGAAATGCAATGCTTTACTGAATAATTAGCAATAACAAAATGTCAAAAACACAAAGTTATCTTTAAATGTACTTAGAGTATCTCAGCCTGATACAGCTGGCTACATACTGAATTTCTGCACACACACACACATACACACACACACACACAAACACACACTCAGACATCATGACCTCCCGCTGTACATCCAGTGAACAGTTAACTCTATAGTTCTCTGCGGGAGCCAAACTGCTGCATCAGGTATTCTCTTTGATGTGAAGGGAACAAAAAACATCACACAATATGTGGTACATGCACTGACTATCTGCCTGTAATCCTGTACAGTACAGACTCCAGACTGCAGCCGTATATGAGCGTGTGTGTTCTGTACCAATCTGCCCGGTTGAATTTAAGTCAGTGAACACAATTAAACAATAATGTTCGACCTATTGAGAGGGCATGTCTGTCAGCTTTGGAAATAAGGACATAAGGAGCCCAAAACATACAATAACACTATACCCTAAATTAATACTATATATCATTGTGATGTCAAATAAATATTAAAAATATGCATTTAAGTATCATATACATATAATAAATCAATGCAGTAATTTAGAAGTGATATTTTGTTATGGTCAGCTGTGAGCGCGCATTCCAGCACAGATAGACGCAAGCACGCGCAGCTGGACGCGCACCTTGCATGCCAGGCAGCCCTCGAAACAAAGAAGACCTGGACCAGGCTGTTTTGATCCGCAGGACGAGGAGTGGGAGAGGGGGAGGGGCGGAGAGGGGTCCAGAGCATCACTTACAGGATGGAGAACCATCTAGGATTTCTTCCCTTATCTCTAGCTAATAAACGGGATGACGTCATCCTGAACTAGGTGGAATGAGGCTCCAGAAAGGGGGGCGTGGTCTGAGCGCCGTGACAGACATGATTGACAAACTGGTGCGCTAATTAAAGGCACAATCATCCATTACCAATGAAGCAACAAGAGGGTGATGTGAACAAAAAAATACGCAGGTTAAAGATAAAATCAGAGCACGTGATATTATCAAATCTTTAAATTGTTTTCATTTTAAAGCACCATCATGTCAGCAACATATAATAATACAATGCATATTTTTGTACATAGCAATATATGCTAAATGCAAATACAAATACAATGTGAAGTACAAATTTAGACCAAAAATCATCACAAGTGATATTATGAAATTGTCAGTAGCCTAGTTCAACGTGGGCTCTGCAACTGTTATGGACATGTTTTTATTATTTTCCAATTATTTATTGATTAATTGATAATGAGAGATATTCTCAGTAACAGCCTTCAGCAGCTTTAAAAATAATCTAAGTAAATGGATTCTCAGAAAGTAGAAACCTGTAACACACCTGCAGTGCCAGTTACACCAAGATGTGTCCTGCAAACTTAATTGACAAACTTAATTTTTTCTTTTTCTGTGACAGTAAAAAAAAAAATCTTCCTAAAATAAATGCATCACTCGACTTTAATGATTCTCCCTTAGGTCTTCTATTGTGTCTCTCTATCTGTCACCAACATGCCAAGACGTGTTCCCAGCCTCCACCTGCGCACAGAAAGCTCCGCCCTGTTGGACTGTAGTGTTTCTTTAAAAGGCGATCCCATGCGCAGGATCCAGGGGGCTGGCCCTTGATCGACTTGCATGCGCGTGTCTGTGTATGTACGTAAGTGTGTGCGTGCGTGTGTATGTATGTATGTATGTGTGTGTAAGTGAGCGCGTGTGTGCGTGCAGCGCTGTGTGGAGAGCAAATCGAGATACAGTAGTAACCCGGAGTGAGGTGGCAGTCTTATTCCACATCGACACTGACTTGCCCTGCGTACATTCAATCGGTCTCTATATCGCAGCGCGCACTTGAGGAGTGGAGGAAAGAGTCAAGATGGCATCTGGAAGTGGCTGTGGACGATCCGGGATCTAGTCTCTTCGGGGTTTTTTTTTTTTGGTACCACACAGCACAAGTGACTGGCCGTGGTAGGTATTCCATTTAAAAGTGACGAGAGCGGATTTATTTCCCAGAGAGATGATGAGCTTTGAGCACTTTCTCCTCAGCCAGTGGGTGGATTCAGACCCTCGCACCAGGACGGGATTTTTGTAAAGAGCTCCTATTGATGAGCAAGTCGTGTTTTATAATGAAGACACGCTTAGGGAGACGAATTGCCTAAATTAAATCCCTTGTTAGTAGTTTATTGTTGCATCATTGACAGAAATAGAAAACATACGCACTTGCGCTGCTGTATTGTATCTGTTAGGCTGTGTTTTAACTCGGCTCTTACCGAATGTGTTGGGTTCATTCTTCTGTCTTCATGTCTTCAACAGGCGTTAATAACTAAGTTGCTCGTGGCCCAGTTGGGACTTCGCTGCTGTGGAATAGCAACAAAGGACGGGAGCGCGCATTCATGGGACGCGACTTTGACAGCTCCTCATCTCTTGTCTTTTAACTTTATTACCTGGCAGCGGGGGCGAGATAGTGGTAGGAGATAATGGCCGAGGCTTCGCTCCCTGACCCACTCCCGGATTCGGACGTGGTCATCGACCCGGACTTCGAACCCCAGAAACGGCCCAGATCTTGCACCTGGCCGCTGCCACGACCAGACTCCAACACGGCGAAACCGGAGAGCAATGACACCGATATTATACCTGAGGAAGAGGATGATGAAGACGACAACGCCACCCCTGCCGCCATCGGTGTCAATGGCTCGGGTTTGGTGACGGATGACCAGAGTAGCAACAGCCCCGTGGCCGATGGAGCGCTCTCCTCCTCCGGCCAGGAGAGCGGAGGCTCCCCGCATTCTGCGCACTCCCCGACGGCCACCTCCGGCGCGCTGACCGCCAGCAGCTTGGCTGCCCAGCAGACCCCGAGGAAAGCATCATCTCGCCGTAACGCTTGGGGCAATCTCTCGTACGCCGACCTGATAACCAAAGCCATTGAGAGCGCGCCGGACAAGCGACTGACACTGTCTCAAATTTATGACTGGATGGTGAGATCCATTCCTTACTTCAAAGACAAAGGCGACAGCAACAGCTCTGCAGGATGGAAGGTAAGAGTCGCCACACTCACCCACGCAGGCCCCCTCCTTTCTCCATCAAAACAAAAACAAAAAGCATGTGGCTTGTAAACCCACTGACGTACACACACAGACAGACACATTCACGCGCACACATTTATCCCCGCGCAGTCGCGTTTTTACGAGCGTCTATTTGGAAAGTCTGGCTCTCATTGTAACTCTCATTATCATTCTAATGGAAATTACAGATCAGTCTGAAAACGTAGAGCAAATGAGGGGGGGGGGGGGCATTAGGGAGGCATTTAAGATCATTAATCTCTCAAAGCAGCGTCGGGTTTGGTGACCTACACATGATTATCTCATAAATTGACCAAAACGTGACATCTTGCACTTAATCCCAGACATTTAATAGACAAATAAGGCTGTGGAGTTGCGATTGAAATTGCATCGGATACATGTGCTTTGTCTTTTTTCATTGGAGGTTTCTGGTGAGTTGTGTGCATGATATTCCTCTGAGGTCACGGTCACAGTCACATGGCTGGAATTAGAGCAAACAGAAACGTTGTAACCAGTTTGTCTGGAAACACAGTAGCCTATTTTGAGTGATGCAACACCGTTTAACACGGCTAAGAGAATGACACAATTACATAAGACAGTTTACTGAACAGCAGCTAATCCATTAATGGGACAAGGAACTGGATGGAAACAAAACGATTTAACATGCTGTGTGCAAAAGTGTGAATCCTGAAAAGACCTCTGCTAAAGGCATGACCCCGCCTGTAAAAACAAAAATAAATCCATGTGATATACTGTCTTTTTGAGGCTGTGAATACTGAGGTTATAGTCACATCATTTTTTTTGCTATTATATTTAGAGGCTAAATTTCCATCCTGCTACTGTATCCACAGTGGGCCATTTGTTATGTAAACCTTGGCAGGGATCTATCTCTTGGGTCAGGTAGGCAGCTGCCAAGGTTGCTGATCCGGCCATGGGGGAATATCATAAGTACTGGGATGCCGTGAGTTTAGGTGAGCGGTAAAGGGAAAAGGTTTTTTTTTATTTTTTTTTTTTAAAGGCAGCTATCTGATCACCAATAAAACATATGGGGCCGGAGAGGAAGGAGGTGCAGAAGGTCAGAGCGCGGAGATTAACACCCATCAGAGGCTAAAGGACTAGTTCCATGGGGCGTGGAGCCTATAGGCCATATTTTGTCAGGGCTTCTCAGGTTTTGCTATGTGATATGCTTCAGTGAAGAGCAAAGAGGGAGGTTGTGTGTGTAGCCCCGCGAAGTCAAGGCCGGGTTCACCGTCCCCATGCAGGTCTGTTACTCCTGGAATTTCGGGCATGAGGGCCAGGCTGTCAGTGGTTTAGTGTTACGCATGGTCTGTCGATAAATCTCTGCTGCAGCTCGCAGCCTGTGCCTTTTTTTTTTTTTTTTAGTTTTCTTACAAGAGACTCTTCATTACAGATTAGTTGTTTGTTCTTCAGAGTTGTGGCAACACATGGTATCACAAATTAGTACAGTTTAGGCAAAGCATATCTACCGAGACTTTTCTTTAGGGTGACATGATCTCTGCAGCTCCAAACTGACAAGCCGGTCTCTCGGCATGAAGACCTGTGCCTGTCAAAAGCTGCAGTTAGGTTTTGTTAAAAATAAAACATGAAAACAAAGACAGCCAGCGGAGCCAGGTGTTCAGAGGACTACCTCTGTGCGGGCACTTTTTCAGAGCCCCTTTGCTCTCCATTTCACTCTCAAACTCTTGGGTTTCACCTCCACACAGAGCCGGGTTTGAACACCTACCGTTTCATGCAGCCAGGGCACCTTTGTTGAGGAGATTTGCTGAGCAAATCCGAGTAATCCCCCTGGGTTTCTCTCCTAAATTCCCACTTACGTCATTCTTTTTCATATCTTTGTCGGTCAACCATTAGCACTTGTAAAAGTTGGTTAAGACAGCCAAGCACAACACTAGGACATATTTCATTACCTTAGATTGCCTTTAACCAAGAGAAGCCACTGCCCAAGCTTTAAATAACAATACAATGTTTGAGCATTTACTTGTTCTTAAATAATGAACAACTCAGTGTACACTATGTCAACTATGATTCAACCTTGATTTGAATTTCTTTAAATCTTATTTAGGGCTAGGTATTGATTCTCAGTGCTCTCAATTGGCATCCGGTGTCTATTCAGATTCATAATCACTTTCATTTATTCTTTGATGAGATAGTTCTAGGTATACAAAATGTTGCCCATTTTAGTTAAATTCAATAAAATAACAAATGATACCCAGTCGCAGTCTTTTTCGTGATAGGTTCTTAATTATAGCAGCCATGATAATCAAAATCATTCTTGCATCCCTTTTAAGAGTTTGGCAGCTTAAGTGTTGGAGCAGTCAGTCTTTTTTAGTACCACACGTCGTACCAACACAGCCTGCGTTAGAGGGGTCGGACTGGTTCGGAGCTGCTGAAATGTGTGCTAAGAGAAGCTTTGGTATGGTGGAGGAGTGACGAGCTACAACTCAAAATAGCGCCTGTAAACATGCCTCTTAGTGTGTGTGTGTGTGTGTGTGTGTGTGTGTGTGTGTGTCTTTCACCTGTGTGTCTTTGCATGATCGAAAGATTAGGTGCACTTGTGTGTATTTGTTTCCACAGGCAGGTGTATTTGTGGGCGTGTGTAAATATTTCTAGCAGCAGTGAACCTTGTGCACTAGTGTTACTTAACCCTGCTGTAACTGGCTCACTGTTCCCAGCAGCTGCATATCACAGGCCCAGACCGAGTTATGTCACAGTGACACTCCACATAAACACACACGCACGCACACACACGTCTGATATCGTCTCATTTAAGGTTATGAGGTTTTAACGGCCACTCTCACTCACATTCGCAGTACGTACAGTTCTTTTTACCGAGATAAAGTTGACCTTTAAAGTTTTTGAACCTGTTATACTTTTACCTTCCAGACAGACACGCTCAGACATGTACAGTGTATTCGCCCGGTCATGTTCAGGCTCATCACCAGGGTTCATGATATTGAGCCTCAGCTGCGGGTCTAAATTTATGCAGGTGTCTGAAATGAGTTTAACTCATTAGAACTCATTCATGAGATTATTTTAATCTTTAAGACCCCTCGGGTTGCAAACATAGACTGTATAAGAAGTGGACAAAGTCATCATGACGTCACCCGTTGGTTTGTGGACTTTGTCGTTTTGAAGCCACGAATTCAACGAAGACAACGTATACGGCTCTGGTAGCGGCAGCCACCTCTAAATGGGACCATCATTTACTAAATGAACATCATGCTGTATTGAAAAAGACTTAAAACTAGTGATTGAGACCATAAACTCATGTTTACAATGTTTACTGAGGGAAATAAAGTCTCATAGACTTCTATACAATCCCCCTGCTCGACAGTGGAGAGGATGAAAGTTTTAAGACATTTCCACATTCGCTTCTCTTATCAGAACCAGAGGTTGCCGCCTGGTTGCAACGAGTCACGACTGTCAACATGACGTTGTTTAACATGTACATTAGTCATTACGTACTATGTTGTTTAACTGCTGGCTATTTGCAGGTACTTCCCATGCAGCACAATCCACGAACAAGTGACTCATGACCGCAAGTGTTGAACACACCTTGTCTCATTTGATCTGTCACTTTACAAAGAGACCAAATAGCAAAGGTTCATCCATGGCACAACCATCACACACACACAGATACATACACAGTGGGCTGCTGCTTTGCTCTCCACACTTTCCCCCCATCTGACATTGACTGGAGGCGTATGGAAAACAGGCCCCTTAAGCCCGCCGGGCATGTTGATTATCATTTTGACGGCCTAGCATGCTGAAAGTGTTTCTTCTTAGGGCTGACATTATTTATTGTTCCTGTCAGAGCAGGACAGGGGTTGACAAAAGAAGGGGCTGCCAAAAAATAAAAAGCATTCATCCTTTCATTGGCTGTCCCTCAATGGGTGAGCTTCTTATGTGATAAGATCTCAGTGTCAGCCACGAGTCTTCCTGCAAGACATGGCTACTAGTGGCTAGAATTCAAACTTTTCCTCATTATCTGAGGGCTACATGAGATACCTGACTAATAAGGAAATTATTATAATAGTGAATGTGTGTGTGTGTGTGTGTGTGTGTGTGTGTGTGTGTGTGTGTGTGTGTGTGTGTGTGTGTGTGTGTGTGTGTGTGTGTGTGTGTGTGTGTGTGCGCGCACGCACTCAGGTACTCAGAACGCAATCAGGAGGGCCCTCAGATAAAGCTTGCATAAAGATCTGCCAAACTGGAGGAACTGAAGCAAAAAAGGCAATAAGGGGGGGGGGGGGGTGTGAAGACAGTAGAAGCAGGAGAAGGAAGGGGGAGCTGAGGGGTACATTTGCAAGCTTTGCTCTAAATTGGTGTATTACAACTGCCCTCTGGCTGTGATTCCCAAAGGAGGGGTCTGTGGTTGTGTGAGGCTAAAGGGCCGATGGGTTATGGGAACACACCAGCTCCAGACACCCCTCCAAGTCTGAATAGTGTCACCCTGAGCAGTCAACCTCTGTGTGGAGGAAAACCCCCAGGCTCTGTTCTAGTTCCATTTCCAATCAATGAACACGTTTTTTTTTTTTTTTCTCCAAATGCCCGAGGAGCTTCATCAAGATTTTACATCTGAAAATTAC